GTTGTAAGACACAGGAAAAAAAGTCTGGTTATATGCTAAAACCCTGAAAGTGAAGTTACGTATGATCCTTTATTTGAATTACTTCTTCATATTCATATCCGATCTTTTTTAAACTAGTGAATGTACATTGTTTTATAATAAGTTGTTTTTATAACAGCTTTGAGATAATTTACACATTGTACAACTCACCCATTTAAAGTGTACAATTCAAAGGTTTTCAGCGTAGTCATTGATATGTACAGCCATCACTACAGTTCTGGAACATATTCATCGCCTTCAAAAGAAATCCTGTACCCTTTAGCTCTCATCCCCGCCCAAGCCCTAAGGAACCGCTCATCTTCCTGTTTCTATATATTTGCCCATTCTGGATATTTCTTATAAATGGAATCATATAACATGTGATCTTTTGTGTCTGGCTTCTTTCCTCAGCATAATGTTTTCCAGAATTCATCCATGTTGTAGCATGTATCAGTGGTCTGTGCCTTTTCATTGTTATATAATATTCCACTGTATGGATATACCACCTTTATCCATTATCAGCTGACAGACATTTAAATTGTCTACCCTTTTGGCTGTCATGAATAACACTGCTACAAAAACATTCATATCCTGGCAAGAGAGGATTAAAGATGGTGGTGTGAAAGGAGAGACAGAGGCTTCCTCCTAAAACCATATACAATTAGAAAATATAGTTGGTGCAACTAATCCTGAGAGAGAAACAGAAAAGAGGACTGCACCAGACTGCATACACCTGGAGGAAAGAGCAAACCTCGCCAAACAGGGTAACGTACCAAAGCTGAGGCCAGGCGGGACCCAAGCCCTTCCCCCACCCCAGCTCACTGACTGGAGGAAGAGAAACTGAGCTGGGAGGGAGTGGAAGCCTGGGACTGCTGAATACCTAGCTCTGGAGATCTGTGCTGGGAGCACAAACCTATGATACTCATGTGCTTCCATGATACTCATGTGATTATGGGTTTGGAAAGTTAATACAGGCAGAGTTCCTGGGGAGACTGGGATTCTGGCCACTTGTGGAAAGCAGGGATCCATATCCAGTTGCTCTGGGACAAAAGCATACACCTGTGTGCTCGGCCCACTGGCTCAGGCAGTGGAGACAGGCACAGCAGCCGGGAGGCGGGGAACAGCTCTTTCCTCCCCCCAGGCACCAGTACCGCTCCCCTGTGACCCCTGACATTGCTTCAGGGGCTGAGCAGCTCCAGAGTAGAGCCTCTGGACACTAAAGGGCGCCATATACAAACATGAAATGTCAAAGAAACCTGGTCCAGAGTAAAACTATTAATACAACTCCCGAGAAAGATTTAAATGACATGGACCTTGTGACTCTTCCTGAAAGGGAGTTCAAAATAAAAATCATCAACATGCTAATGGAGGTAAGGAAAGACATCCAAAAACTCAGGAATGAATTCAGGTCAGAGATCCAATCGTTGAAGAGCATGATGGAGGGTATTAAAAGCAGGTTGGACACAGTGGAGGAGACGATAATGAAACAGAAACTAGAGAAGAGGAATACAAAGAAGCTGAGGCCCAGAGAGAAAAACATTCACATCCTTGTCTGTGTGGACATGTTTTCATTTCTCTTGGGGAGATAATGGAGTGATTTCTGGGTCATACAGTGACTCTATGTCTGACCATTTAAGAATTGCCAAACTATTTTCCAAAGAGTCTGCACCATTTTACTTTTCCACCAGCTAGGTACGAGGGCTCCAATTTCTCCACATCCTCACCAATACTTGCCATTATCCGACTTTTCCATTACAGAGTGAGTCACAGTGTTCACACAGTCCTAAAATACCCAGATTTACAGACTTCAAGGTGCTCTTACTGACATTAAATTTTAGACCAGAGAAGAGTCCAGTCCTAGACCTGTTCCCCTAGCCCACCCACCTTCTGTAAAATGAGGGGGACAGGAATAAATGAGTCCCCATCCACAAATAAAACTTTCACTAAAGGGATTAGCAGATTTTCTAGGCACTCAACAAAATCTGTAAGAAGGATCCAGCACTGAGGTGAACATGTGTTCCCATCGAAACTCATTTGTAACGCCTCCTACATAAACACAATCCTCAGCCACAGCAGCAAACATGAGAGTCTCGATCTATCACCATGTGAAAAAGAGACAAGATGTCTTAGGTTTCCCCACTCAAATCCTACTGAAGAGGAGAAATGGTTTTCAAATGGGGGCAAAAGTACAGAAGCACAGGCACTAACACCCCAAATAGGTACCTGCCTGCTCCCTTGCCCCAAGCTAGAGACAGGGCTTGGTGCTGTCTTCCCCATCACTACTCCTTGCCTCAGGGCAGACTGGGAGGATGGTGAGCCACAGATGCTACTGATGCGGCCCATGGTGGCCGTGAGACCAAGACCCAACCAGAAAGAAATTCTATGAATCTCAGCACCCAGTGCAACGCTCACCCAATACCCATTTGCCCAGAGTCAAAACTGGCATCTTAGCCAGGAGGGGGTGGGCCTCACAGCCCCTTCCGAGAAGCTGAAGAAGTATCTTCTCTTCAGGCCTCTGTCCTGCAGCACTGGCCCGGGGAGGGTGACAGAGTCTGTTCACACGCACGGTCTTCAGGCAGGGTAGGAGGCGGAGAGTGTGGCCATTAAATCCCCCTTTCTACTTGCCCGTTCCCTCCACTTTCCTGTTCAATTACAGAAGGTGTTTCCAATTCAGACAAATTTAGCACATTTTGTAAATATTTAGTCCTCATCTATTACATTTTGTAAATATTTAGTCCTCATCTATTACATGCAAGTGCAAGAAGACACAAAAATACAGTTTCCATAGCATATGTGTCAGGTCTTTTCAGAGGAAACAAAAAATTCTACTTCAGAGAGCAAATAGTACTTCGGGTTTTTTTTTTTTTTGTAAATGAACAATAATGTCAGTGCAGTTCTCAGGGAGCTGGGCACCCCAGGGGCTGCAATGTTCTGGGAGTGTTCCAAGAAGGTAGGAAAGACTTGAGCTAGACCCTGGAGAAAAAACAGGAAGAACTGAAGAAAAGGGTGTCCCAAAGGGCAGCAGAACCACTGGATTCAGCCGGCAAGACGGTCTGCAGAGGGTAATGCCAATCCGGGATGTTCAGCGCACCTTCTGGGGACAGGGTCAGGGTGACCCTGGAAAGGGGGCCTGTGCCGGCTGAGGGGCGGCACCTTGAATGCCACATTCGGACATCAGAGCTCATCCCGTAAGCCAGTTTCTGACTTCAGTGCAGGATCTCCATAGCCTTGTAAAGTGTGTCTGTTGCTCACAACAGTTTAAGGTACTTGATATTTACAGGTGAATTACAGAAAGACAAAGAAGTTAAAGTGGACAAAGGGTCCACTATTACGACAACATTGTTACTCATTCGCACTTAAAAATGGCCAGCACAGAGGTATTGCCATTTGCTGCCTTTGGGTAATACCGCGCTGAATACATCATCATCTAATACTCTTAAATATTCGTGAGGTAGTAAAAGCATTAAACAAAGGCAGTAAAAGGTTCTTATTCTGTCATAATCCTTGGGACAGCGGTTCTAACATAGTAGTAGACCACGGATGAACTTTAACGACTCTTAAGCCCCCTAAAATTGTATGCAAAAGTTAGTTGGAGAGAGATTCTCTTTCTACATCTCAAGAGGTCCAATTATCCTAAACAGGTTATGAGCCTAACTTTAGGGTTAACAGAAACCAGCAAAAATTTAACCCTGTGGGGGCCTTTACTTTCAAAACAAAGTGCTAACCAAGGAGGGAGGGGGCAAGTTCGAGATGCTCCTAATACGTTAGTATCTATCTCCCTCCTTTCTTGTTAAAAACTGCCCAAGAAACTTCTCACCAAGATCAAAACTCATTCAAGATTTTTAAAAAGGTCCAAGGCGGGGACAATCAAATCACTAACTTTTCTCTCTTCTCACAAGTAAGGCGACAACAACAGGCCTCCAGCCTCCTCTGGTTTCAGCATCTTCTCCAAAAGGACCTCCTGACCAAAAAGCTGCTTTCTCTCAAAATTAACTTTCTGGAATGACCAGGCCTTGACACAAGCGCACGAAGCACGGTTGCTCGACTTCCAAGCCATCTGAGGTAGGCTTTTTTTTTTTTTTTTTTTTGCATCACCACATGCAAGGAGCCTGTGCGCACCAGCAAAGAGATGTTTTGGGGCACCCGGAACTCCTCCTGGACCTGCACCGCTTGCCCGGGGTCGCTCGCCCTCCCACCACCGCAGGAAGGGGGCCTGACGGTCCGTCTTCATGACGCGGGATACATTCGGTGTGTCGGAAGTTAATCTGGGAGTTCCAGACCGTCTACACGGCAAAAAGAAGTTTCGTTTTCCCGACTCTCACACAGCCGCACATTTCCTTTGTCTGCTGGTGACACCGGAGGAACGTCTCCCTCGGAGGTAAAATCAACCGAGTCGTCATCACAATGCTCACTTCCTCCGAGAGCAAGAGGGGAAGACCTCACCCCAACTCCACAACGCGGTGGTGGAAAACCAAGGACATTATGTCGCAAACTGCAACGCCGGCACCGCGGACATTTAACCGAGCCTTCGAGGAAGCAGCAGGCGACGGCCCGGAGCGGCACGGCGGGCAGACGCGGGGTGAGGGCCTGGGCCCGGGATCACAGGGCCGGGACGCCGGCCTGCGGGGCCGCGGCCGCTTCCGCCCTTTCTGTCCGGTCTTGGTACCCAGCGCTCTGACCACTCGCAGGACCGACAGCCACGGAGGAGGTACGTGTGTTTCCCACCGGGGAGCAACACGCGCCCCCCGGAGGGCACCAGGCCGGCCGCGGCCCCGCGCCAGCGCTGCGGCGCCGGGAGCCCGGAGCTCCAGCCCGAGCTAGCGCCCCGCCGCCCGCCGCCCACCCCGACGGCGCCTCGCGGCACCTGCGACGCCACACGGCGGCCGCGCAGTGCGCTCAGCCGCTGCCCAGCCCCGGCGCACCGCCCCTGTCCGCGCCCGCCGCCGCTCGGCCGGTCCTGCGGCCCGGCTCCTCGCACTCACCGGCCCGGCCTGGGCAGCGAGCGCCCGCGGCTCCCCCCGGGAGCTGGGCTCCCGGGCCTCCAGGCTTCGGCCCGCCCCCTGGCAGGCGGCGCAGTGGCTGAGCCCCGCAGCAGCGGCCCCGCACCGGCCGCTCGGTCCAGCTCCCGGCTCTGCCCACTGGGTACGGATCAACAACAAGATGGCGGCCAGCCGAGGGGGCGGGGGCCGGGCGTCATAGTAACCAGGACGGCGAAGAGCCCGCCCCCGGCTGGGGAAGCTCCAATCAACAACCTCTGCTCCCGAAGCCCGGAGATTGCTTCCCGATGACAAGTTACCCAGCCTGTCAGTCAAAGCCTGCCTCCCGGCCCACGCTGAACGCCTCAGCACGTGACTGTGACGGCACGGGTGGGCGCACGCGCGCCATTCCAGGAGGTGCAGGCGGCGGAGCTCTTGCTGGCGAGTCGGGGGCAGTAGCGCCGTCGGCGTCTGCAGGCGGAACCTGCCGCGCCCGCGCATATGTGCGCGGGCTTAGGGAGAATCTGCTGCATGTTACCCGCTCTTTTTATTACCCACCCTGGTAGAGAGGGATGGTTGTCCCCAGCACACTGGTGGAAAACTGAGGCGCGGAGGGGGACGCCGGGCCGAGGTCGCATTGTACTTCGGGGCCAGTACAATGCGAAGTACAATGGCTCTTCCCGGCGACGTCCCCAGCTCTGCCCCTCAGGGGCTCCGAGGGGCGGCCATCTGTGCTGCCCGAGCTGTCCTTCTGCCTGGAGCACGCAGCGCACTGTTTTCCTGCCCCCGGGGCATCTTGTCTTGAGTTCCTATGACAACATTCTCTGCCCTGGACTGTCATGACCTGCCTCCGAGGTCGACTATGAGTCCTGGGAAGATGGTGATCCCAGGCTCGCCCATACAGAGCACCTAACGCTGGGCCTGGCTTCAGGCTCAGGAACACAGGTGCCGTCACGCAGCCTGGGCCCACTTGGAGTGCCGGGACTAGGTATTTTTGTGACTTTTGAGCCTTGGTTGCCCCATTTGTAAAATTAGAATAACAGTTGAGCTCCTCAGAAAGATTTAGTGAGCCCTAAGAGCAAGCTAAGTGCTCAGGAAAAGTACACCTGCAACCACTTCCAGCAACAGGCTGCTGTCAGGTGGCTGTCCCCGAGGCCAGGTCTGACCCCTCACGTTTTTGGGAGCACCAGGAAATGCATTCTTCCCACAGAAGGCACTCGGCTTCCCCCACCTGGGACACAATAACTGGCTCAGGACAGGAGGTCCTCCAGTGCCCTAAGATGGTTCAGGTCCACAGAGTTGGCAGAAGGGAGAAGATTGAGAGGACTGGGGGATACCACAGCAAAGGCCCCCCACCCAGGCAGCAGGTCCTCTTGGAGAGCTGGCAGTGACCTGAGACCTGACGCCAGGCTGGGTCTGGGGAGGCAGCTAGCCCTGCACCAGGCACAACCTGCCCTCCCGCAGGTTACTGTAGGCTACCTGGTCTTAGTGCAACAGCTCAGCCATTAATCCCTCCAGAGCCACCATGCCACAGCATTCTCAAGTCTGCACCAACCCTCACCTCAGTGCAAAAGCTCCAGATCCTTCCCAGGAAAACCTCAGTGCACAGTTGGCAACCTTCCCTGGAGGTTATGGGGCCCCAAATAGCAACATTGTCCTCTTAGTGGGAGAGGAAGCTCCTGGGCCCTCCCCACCTGCCAGAGCAGGTGGCCCGTGAGGGGACAGGCCAGTCACAAGGATAACAGCTTCTTACCTCTGCAGAGCATTCATCTCTGACAGCACAGCACAATGCCTTCTTAAAAGAAAAACAGCCTTACAACCCCCCAGAGCATTCCCAGGAGGCAGGGCATTCTCCACGTGAGAACAGGAAGCGCAGATCTCAGACCTGCTCCCACACGCAGGTTACAAGGCTGGGACTTCTCTGTTTGTAATTTTGTTTATTATTGAATCAACTCGAAATCACAGCCCATGATCACATGAACAATTCCACAAAGTGAAGCAGCTTCTCGGCCTCAGAGCCAACGCCGGGCTCCCGTGCGCGTGTTGAACAGGTAATCTCTGCCTGTACCTGAGCTCAGGTGGTCGGGAGGGAGAGAGAACTGGTCTCAGAAGAACTGCCTCCCTCCTTCCGCTAAGGGAAGGGGAGACATTCCAGGACCCTTGGTGTGACCCCCCCAACTTCTGCTTGATCCAGCCTGTACCCTTCCTGCCTTCTCAGCACATCTTTTCAGGTCTGGCTCAAATGTATAGGAAGTATCCTCGAATCCCCAAAACTGGACCCCAGCTCCCCTCTAAGCCCAGTGCCAGGTTACTCTGCCATAATTCACTGGTTGACAGTGGAGTGTCCTGGGGCCTCTCCACCTTCCCCCTTTCCCTTGTGGTCAGAAACCAGTCCAGGGCTGAGTCATCTCCTGGTCCCACAGGTGCTTGACAAACACTGGCTGACAGGGGAGGAGGGCTGAGGACAGACTCCATTCAGGGAAAGATCAGACAGTGGATTGGTGGTAGGAGGAGATACTGAGGTGGGAAAAGGAGAGAAAGTGGGCCCAGGTGGATAATGGTTAGGAAGCAGGGACTCACGGGAATCCTGCGCTCTGCCATCAAAATGCTGCTGAGGGAAAGGAGACGGTGCCGAGATGAGCCCTGCCCACGGGAGCAGGCGCAGGCCTGCCTCCCCCGCCCTGGCGGTGCTGGTGTGGCTGCCCCGCCAGCGGTAGACAGCCACGGGGAAGGAGCAGGCTGGGCAGGGGGAGTCTCTGTAGCAGCCTTGGGGCCCACCAGGCAGGGTGCGAGGCTGACATACCAGGCTTGGGACGCTGCTGGGTTGCTGGGGCATCTGCATCCTTGGTGCCACCACGAACCCCTCCATGGACCCCTGGGTTCCCTGGGTGCTGGGGCAGAGTAGGAGCAGGAATGCAGGATGAGGCTCGGGGCCTCGGCCTGAGTTTGGGAGATGGACTCCCAGGCATAGAGGTATGCAAAAGAGGCTGACCTGTTTGGCAGAAGACACTGGGCTGGTTTGCTTGGTGCCTGTATCACCTGGGCCAACCTAAATTGCCAGGAGGAGGGCCCAAGCAGTGAGGGAGCAGGCCTGCCGGCCCCGGGAACCAGCACCCTCACCTGCCCCTTTAGACTGGGGGTAGCCAGCATCTGTATGCAGGGCTCACATGCTCACCCCCACCCTCCCCTAGGCTCGGGCCTGTGCCCACGAGAAACTCAGTCTCAGGGGCAGGTCACATTCAAGTGGAGGACATGGGTCAGGAATAGGGGGGGATGCACAACGTGGGGCAGACTCAGGCTCCAGCCCGGGCCTCATCCACACCCGGCCCATCTCAAGACTGGGCCCTGCCAATGGTGGAGACAACTTCCTCCCGGGGTCTCTGCCTCTGACCTGACAACCCCTGGAGGGAAGACAGCCCTCCTTGAGATCAGTTAATCTGCTCATCAGCTTGGGCATTTTGTCACCAACTCTCGGGTGAAACCACCTACAGCAGACGGGGTCCGTCAGCGGGCTGAGGAGGCAGGGCGCGTGGGGATGGGAGCCCTACCCCTGGAGGGGCCTGCAGAGGAGCCAGCCCAGAGCCGCGAGGAGAAGGGCGCCCGTCACCGTCAGCACCACCACGAACCAGGGCTCCGGCTGCCAGAAAGCCTCTGTGTCTGTCACGAGCAGGGGTGTCACCCCTGAAGGCACCTGAAGTGGAGCCACAGCCTCACCACTGCCCTGCCCAAATGCCCCGATATCCAGCCTTCAAACCCCTCCAAGGGCTGGGCCGCCCCACACCCCAGGTTTGCTTCTGTATTGCCCAGCTCTGCATTCAGCAGTTCCCTCTGGAATGCCTTCCCACACCATTCCCCCTGGAAAACTGGGTCACCTCACCCTCCAAGGTCTTCTCTCCCCACCCCCACAGGGCCCGAGGACCCCCTCACCGTGGCTCTGTGGGTGCTGGTGGCCTCTGTGCTGGCCCTCCAGGGGACTAGATGCACAATGACTGTGGCTGTGGTGCTGAGGTGGGGGATGGAGGGACCTGCATCGGCCACACGGATCAAGAGCTCCTGAGTATGGGGCTGATCTGGCCAGGGGGGTCCCAGCGTGGCTTCACTGTGCACCAAGGCAGCTCCTTGCAGTCTGAATCGGCTCCGGCTATTCCCTGGAAACAGAGTAGCAGAAGGAGGGTCCGCTGCCGGCCATGTCCTGCCCCTTCCGGGCAGCCTAGTGGCCCCCACGGCCCTCACCTGCCACGATGCTGTAGGAGAAGGCCAGGCGTTGTGGCTCCTGGGGTACCCAACATGACAGGTTGGTCACTTCCACACGACGGCCCAGGGGCGCATGGACGGTGAGCTCCTGCAGTGGGGGCTCACACTCGGGAGCATGGTCATTCACGTCCTGCAGGAAGGCAGTCAGGCCACCCACTTTCCAAACCCCTAGGCCAGTGCCTCCGCCTCTTCCCGCTACAGCCCAGGTGTCAGGCCCCGGGCTGCACGGCTTTCCACAGGAAGGCACCACCCTGTCTAGCCAACCAATGGAGGGAACTGAGGTACAGCGGGAGAGCAGAACGCTAAAGTCTGAGCCCTCGCCAAGGCCTTGGGGCTGAACCACCTCAACCTCGATGGTAATGGTGCAGGAGCCCGAGCGGCGGTGGGTGGGGTCCTGGTCTTGGCTGTGGTCTGCCAGCAGGACAGCAAGCCTGTACGACCTCTGCAGCTCGTAGTCCAACCGCCCCAGGAGGCGGACCTCTCCTGGAAGGGGTGCCGCGGCCTCAGCTGCAGAGTTAGCTCGGCTCCACACCCCCTCCCAGCCCCGGGGTGGCAGTACCGCTGAGACGGTCCACAGCAAAGACAACGGGCCTGCCGGAGACGTAGTACTCAGCGCTGTCATGCGGATAATCCGCGTCCGTGCCCACCACAGAGCCCAGCAGAGTGTGGGGTCCCGCATCCTCCCGAACACGGAACGTGCGTGGAGCACAGGTTGGGGAGAACTCGTTGACAGGTGTCACCGTCACCAGCACTGGCACCTCAGCTGGAGGCCATTTGGCAGTCAGGGAGCTGGCCTGGGATGCCCAGCCCTGCCTTGGGGTCTGAGGAGGAACCAGGTCTGGACAGAGGAAGGGCAGTAGCCTTCCCCTGGTGGGGTGGGAGTGGGGTGGGGTCTGGAATTGGAGAGATATGGCCCCCTGGAGTCTGAAGTGGAGACAGCCCTGCCCACCTGGGTTCTGAGGGAGATGGCCCTGTCCTGACCTTCTGGACCCGGGGACGGTCACTCACTGGTCATCAGGGGCTGGCCCCCATCGAGGACCAGGATGGAGGCTGCATGCTGGAAGCACACCCCAGGAGTGTCACAGTCCAGTGTGGCATTCACCTGGTCAGAGGGGCAAGAGAGAGCCTTAAGCCAAGGCCTGGGAGAACCTAGAGCCGCGCTGGAAGCCTCAGGCCAGGGCATCTGCAGCCAGCCGGCCCTGACCCTCTTTTCCACAATGCAAAGCCGGCTGGCCCCAGAAACATCTCCTTCACCCCCACGGCTGAGGCTCCCACTGACCCTTGGTCTTCCCCCCTTCCTGTCCCAGGCACGCAGCAGGGGGACTGGGAATGGGCTGGGCACCTCCAGGACCCTGTCTCGAAGGCAGAGGCTGGCTGGGCCAGGAGGGCTGTGGGACAGCAGCTGGAAGTCAAGGGCAGAGCCAGGGGAGTCCGGGTCAGTGCAAGTGAAGGTGGTCAGCACGGTGCCCACAGGCGTGGTCTCCGGGATCTGTGTCCTGGAGGTAATGGGCAGGCGGCAGGGCAAGTATCAGGCTGGGTGTGAGCTGCGGTTCTTGGCCCAGTAGTTCAGGGAAAGTTCCAGGCACTCACACCAGTAGCGCTGGAAGGCAGCGTGGAGGCCAGCGGTTGACCGACCGCACATTCACCATGAGGTCCTGTTTGACACTGGCCCAGGGCCGGAGTCGCTCATAGGCCTTCACCTGCAGCCTAGTAACTGCTGTACCTGGGGCCTGTGCCAGCTCCAGGGGTGCAGTGGACCGGACCACACCATCGTCTGGGCCAAGCAGGAGGGCAGGGGGCACAGATGGTCCTGTTTCCACCCTCCCACTGGGGTCACTGGCAGGGGAGGGCTCTGAGCCTGGCCACCCTGGCTGCCCCCTCCAAGGCTCACCTCTAACTCTGGCCCAGCCCCCAAACTCAACAGCACCCCAGACTTGGCCTGAGCTCCAGCCTTGATTCTCAGGAGGGTGAGAGGATACCACAGATCACCTCTAGACCAGCCACAGAGGCAGCCCTGTGCCCTACCCCAACCACAAGCCCCTCACCACGTCCGATGGAGAAGAGTGGGCATGGTGCTGGGGAGAGGATTTCGTAGCGCACGTCAGAGCCCTGGGCGCGGACCTGAGCCACCTTACTCCCGGGGGCCAGGTTCTCGGGGATGGTGATGTTCTGGGCCTGCTCCCTGGACCAAAAGGGGGTCACTGGCTCCTGCCTGCTCCTGCCAGCCTCAGCCTGGCCCGCAGGCCCCTCCCGTGGAGCTTCCCCTGTACAGAAGCCAGCTGGGCAGCTCCAGCAGCCCCACATCCTAACCCTCTCCTAACTCCCTGGGCCTCGGGCGTGCCTCCTACCCCGTTCCCGGGGAAGCAGACCCTTACAGGAAGGAGACCTGGCTGGAGGGGACAGGCAGAACGTCCACTCTCAGCACCCCATGACAGCTCCGGTTTTGTCCGAAGGTCACCACGATGTGGAGCTGGAAAGCCTGCAGTGCACACAGAACAGGAAGGGAGCCCCAGAGTGTGCCTGTCTTTGTGTCTGTGCCCAGCCTCCCCTGCAGACAGGCCTCCCTGGGGGGCCTCCGCAAGGAGCCCCTGCCCTCGCTGCTCCCGTGACCGGTCCCTCTGCTGAGCCCCGCTCTTCATCATGGAGAAGCCCTACTCAGAGGGACACCCGAGCTGTTCACGAGGTGGCTCACCACCCTGGCTGCTGGGAGCCCGTCACTAGGACGGGTGAGGAGCTCCGCTGCCCAGCCGCTCCCCTGGAGCGCTCTCTCCCTGCGAGGCTGCTCTGGACACGCCCCTCTCTGTCAGAGGCAGCACAGAGTCCCCAGAGCTCCAGAGCCAAGAGTGCCCTTTTTTTCTGGATCTGCAAAGCCAGTGCGGAAGCAGGCCAATGAGGGCGGCAGGGGCAGGTGTGGGCGGTGCCTGGGAGAGGCGGCAGGGCAGGGGGGCCGCAGAGGCTGGGAACAAACAAAACCCAGGAGGCAGTGGCTCTGCCCACGTGTGTCCCGAGACCCCAAGTCGTGCTTACCTTTGGAGCCTGGCCTTTGAGGCCCTGGGGCGGTGCCCGCAGCCAACCCTGCCCATCAATGGAGAAAGATCCGGGGAAGTGTGCAGGGTCCTGGGCACTGGTGATGCTCACCTGCCAGGACAGAGATGCTGGAGGCCCCAGGCCCAGCCCCCAGAGCCCCTGGCATCCCTGTCAGAATTCCCCCGACACCCCAGCAGGTCGCTGTCCACACCCAGCCCCCCATAGCCCACACTGACACCTACCCTAGCTTGGCCTCCCCAGCCTCCTGCTTGACCCCGGCCCTCATCCTCAGTCCTTTCTGCTTTTCAACCAATTGTTTTTTAACTGGGATTAGTCTTTTTGGAGAATTCAGAACACCTGGGAGAACTTGAAGGAAGAACTCGGCCCCCGAGGGCAGGCAGCCCTTGGCGGCTCTCTGAAGCACACATCGTACAGAAGCTCAGACGCACACTAAAGGGTCCCTCTGCAGGCCGTGCTTGGTCTCCCTGTGCCTCCCCGCACTGCACCCCACCATGCGTGTGCTGGGCTCACCTGGGCACCCTGGAGTTCCAGGCCTGGGAGCAGCAGAGTGTATAGCTGGGCGCCAGGTGGGACAGTTTCCGGCACCTGGATGATTTCGCCAGCTGGCCAGAGGGGAGGTCAGGGAGGCTCTGTTCAGGCCATGCCTGCTCACACCCTGCCGGCTGCCCCAGCCTCACCTGGGCTGGCAAATCGGCCAGCACACTGGATATGGCCGGGGTCCCGCTGCACATCCACAGAGAGGGGTCCCTCCATCACATGAGTGCCACACGTGAACCGCAGCCACAGCTCATAGTGGTTCACTGCTAGGGCATCCAGCCGGGCTGAGCTGCTCAGGGTAACCTGAGGCAGATGGCAGTGTCACATGCGGCCTGGGCTCTCCATCCCCTACACCGCCTCTGGCTTTGTGAGTTTAAGGTCTGCCCCTTCCCCCACGCCAGCCTCCAGCTGTGCCCATGACCTTACCATGCCCACATAGATCCCCTGCCACCTGGTCAGGCTGGGTGGGTTGAAGAAGGTGGTGGGTGGCTGCACATGGAGCAGCTCCAGGGTAGGCACATGAGACGAGCAGTTGAAGGAGAAGGACTCAAGGACCGTGCCAGGCCCCTGGCTCTCAGAGACATTTACGAACCAGGGCAGGCAGTGGATGTCTGTGAGGAGGAGACAATTCAGGTGGGAGGCCCCCATGTGCACAGAACCACACGTTCGAGCAGAGTCCTGCCCTCTGCCTCAGGGCCTGGCCACATCTAGGGGCTGAACCACCAAAGCTCTTTCGTGTCCCCCACGTCCAACCATGGGTCAGCTCATTTCACAGGCTGGAAGTGAGGACCTGGCCAGGGAAGCATCCAGGTTAAGGACTGAGAGTCAGGGGTTCAGATCGTTGCCATTCCCTGGCTTCCCCCAGCCCCTGCCCTCCATGGTAGCTTATCTGAGAAGGGTCACAACTCCATCCACTGTGGAGGGATGCAGGGTGAGCTCCTCACCGCAGACTACCAGAGCAAGCAGCAGCGCGGGGGGCCTGAGCAGCAGCATAGCAGCCTGCAGACAGTCGGTAGAAGGGGTGCCGGGAGGCCCGCGTGTTTGCCAGGCAGGTCCCGTTGCCAGGTCACTTGCTCAAACACAGCTGGGCAGGCGTGACTCCTGGGCTCCCCAGATTCTAGCCCCGCCCATCCCTGCTGACGAGCTCCAGACTCATTAGGCATCAAGAAGTTTCTTTCACTGTTTCCCAATGAATTCTCTCCATTCTTCACCGCAACCAAAGGAGATGGGAGAGGAGAAGGGTAAAGCTTCAGATGGGCAAATTGAGGCCAAGGGCAGTCTCGGTCACACAGTTCCGGGAGACAGGGCAAGCACAGGACCCAGGAAAATTAGGCCCAGGACCTGCTACCCAGCAGAGTCCAAGCTCCAGCTGCCCACGCCCATGAAAACATTATCTGCCTAATGAAACTGGATTATTGTCTAACCCCATACACAAAAGTAAACTCAAAATGGATCAAAGACCTGAATGTAAGTCATGAAACCATAAAACTCTTAGAAGACAACAGAGGCAAAAATCTCCTGAATATAAGCAGGAGCAACTTCTTCCTGAACGCATCTCTTCAAGCAAGGGAAACAAAAGCAAAAATGAACACATGGGACTAAAAATGAACACATCAAACTAAAAAGTTTCTGTACGGCAAAGGACACCATCAGCAGAACAAAAAGGCCTCCTACAGTATGGGAGAATGTATTTGTAAGTGACAGATCCGACAAGGGGTTAACATCCAAAATATGTAAAGCACTTACACACCTCAACACCCAAAAAGCAAATAACCTGATTAACAAATGGGCAGAGGATATGAAGAGACAGTCCTCCAAAGGAGAAATTCAGATGGCCAACAGACACATGAAAAGATGCTCCACATCACTAATCATCAGGGAAATGCAAATTAAAACCACAACGAGATATCACCTCACACCAGTAAGGAAGGCCAGCATCGAAAAGACTAAGAACAACAAACGCTGGTAAGGATGTGAAGAAAGGGGAACCCTCCTGCACTGCTGGTGGGAATGTAAGCTAGTTCAACCATTGTGGAAAGCAGCATGGAGGTTCCTCAAAAAACTAAAAATAGAAATACCATTTGACCCAGAATCCCACTCCTTGGAATTTACCCAAAGAATACAACTTCTCAGATTCAAAAAGACATAAGAACCCCTATGTTTATCGCAGCACTATTTACAATAGCCAAGAAATGGAAGCAACCTAAGTGTCCATCAGTATATGAATGAATAAAGAAGATGTGGTACATATACACAATGGAATACTATTCAGCCATTAAGAAGAAAACAAATCCTTCCATTTGCAACAACATGGATGGAGCTAGAGGGTATTATGCTCAGTGAAGTAAGCCAGGCAGAGAAAGACAAGTACCAAATGATTTCACTCATCTGTGGAGTATAAGAACAAAGAAAAAAACTGAAGGAACAAAACAGCAGCAGACTCACAGAACCCAAGAATGGACTAACGGTTACCAAAGGGAAAGGGACTGGGGGGAGGATGGGTAGGAAGAGAGAGAGAAGGGGAAAAAGGGGGCCTTACGATTAGCACCCATAATGTGGCAGGAAGGAGGGGGCCATGGGGAAGGCAGTACATACAGAGAAGACAAGTAGTGACTCTATAGCATCTTACTACACTGATGGACAGTGACTGTAAGGGGTATGTGGGGGGGACTTGTTAATAGGGGGAGTCTAGTAATCATAATGTTGTTCAAGTAATTGTACATTAACGATACCAAAATAAAAAATAAACAAACAAACAAATAAATAAATAAAATAAACTAGGAGAAGCTAAAAAAAAAAATTTATCTACCTACAAAATCCAGGCCCAACATCGACAAAATATCTCAGAAGTTGTCTACATTCAAGGAGCAAAGAGAATCCTTGGTGATAGAAACCAGAGTGGTTATATTTGGGGATACCAGCTGGAGGGACAGGGAGTGGGCTCCTGGGGCAGCTGGGCCTTCTGGAAGGCAGCCGCACAGCCTGTAACATTCACTGAGCTGTGCCTCTGAGAGCTGCGCCTTCGTGACCTTTGCAGGGCGAGGTCCAAACTTGTCTGCACTTGCTGTCTCCAGTTCTCACCTCCCACTGCTTCTAGCCAGTAGTCAGGCTGGCCCCTCTGCCCACAGAGCTGCCTGACGGGGTCCACAGCCTTGGGCATACTGCTGCATTCGGCAGGTCCTTCCCCACCCTCGCCTCCCAGGCAGCGCTGGGCACTTGCTCCCCGGGGGTCCTAAGTGCCCACCACACCCTCTCAGCATCCTCCCCCTCCCAGCTGCCCCTGTTCCGCTCCTTGCTGCTTCCGCCTCCCCTTCCCCACCTGCATGCAGTGGAGTGTCCCAGGGTTCCCTGTGGTCCGCTGCCCTCCCCTAAACTCGCCTCCCCTGGCACACCCAGGCCCCGGACCCTAAGCACCATCCACTGGCTCTCCTTCCCAGATCCAAGGCCCTAGTGTCGCTTGCTCTCCCAAACTCCAGTCATACACGCACCCTGTGGCTGCCCCTGCATCTCCTCTTGGACGTCTAACAGGCTTTTCAAGGGTCACATGTCCACAAACGATCATTCAGTTTTCACCCACAAACCCACTCCTCTCTAGTCTTTCCTGGATCGGTTCATGGCAGTTCCATCCGACACTGATCAGGCCAGACAACCAGGAGCCATCCTCCATGCCCCTCTCTCTCCACCCACACTGATACCTCTGCGAGGCTTGATTTTAGCCAAGAAGGCCCCAAAGTGACCCTCTCTGTGCGCTAACCCCACCCAGGCCCAGGCCCTGGCCTCCCTGCTGGATGAGGGCCTGAGCCTCGGCTCTGACTACAGAATGGTTCTCCCAAAGCAGCCGGGATGACCTGAACAGGAGCCGGCCCAGGTCACGCCCTGCTCAAAAGCTCCAGTGCCCCCATCACACCAAGAACAACCCCCCACGTTCCTTTCTAAGCCCGCTGCCCTCCTCGCTCCCCAGCTACCGCAGCTTCCTGGAGTCACGCACCGCCCAGCTCCGGTCCTCCTAGGAACTCAAACCGGCCCACCCCTCTGCCTCGAATGCCCCTCTTCTTGATCCCGTACAGAATGCCAGCTCCCCTGAGGGTCCCCTCTCCCAAACTAGCCCGTCGCCCTCATTCCGCGCGCTCTCTCGGTCTGCTGACTTGTCTAGTCTGTCTCCCGTTAGGCGGCATCGCTGAACCTAGCCTCCCCTAGGCGGCGGCCTCTGACCTTCCGGCCCGGCATTCACCCCCGTGTGCCCGGTGCCGACAGAGGGAAAGCGGCTGTCGCCGCGCGCTCCCCACTAGAGGGCGGCCCCGCCTGGCAGCGCGGACGCCAGGAGCGGAGGGCCGGGCTGCGCCTCGGCGGAGGTCCCTTCCGAGGACTGCCGAAGCCGGCGCAGGGGCGGACGCAGACGCGTGGGGGCGCTCTGCCCCACATGGACGCGGCCGGGGGACCTGCAGCCCCCTTCTGGGGCGGCTGCCGCAGCCGCAGGGAGGCCGCGGGTCCCGGGGCACGCGGGGCCGCCCCGCTGCAGCCCGGCCGTCCACAGCGCGGGCCGGTGGGGCTGGGCGCCGGGTTGGCCCCCCGCCGGCCCTCGGGGCGGGGCCACTGCAGCCCCGCCCGGCCCTTGGCGGCGGCGCCGGGGGCGGGGCGCGGCCGCCAGATGTTGGGGCGGCGGTGGCGGCGGCTGGCGCGCGAGGAGCGCAGAGGTCGGCGGGCCCGGGGCGGCACCGCAGTGGCGCGGGCATGCACAGCGGGCGGCCCGGCCGTGTCCTGGGCCCGCTGCGCCGGGAACTGGTGAGCTGGGCGGCTGCGGCTCGCGAGGGCGCGTGGGGTGCTCGGCCCGTCCACCCGGACGACGCGCGGGTGGGGTCGCTCCCAGCCCTCCAGGGCGGGCTGCGGGCGGCGTGGCGCCCCGGCCCGAGGTCCCGCGTCGGGGTTCGGACGGTTGGGAGCTGCCTGGGCATCACGTAACAGCCGCCCAGCTGGCCGCGCTGCCGGGCGGCGGAGGGATAGGGCGCAGCAGGGGTGGCGAGGGGCTGGAGTGCTGGAGCTGCTAAGGACGCCCCGAGCCCAGGCTGGCCTGCCCGCCCGGCCAGTGATCTGTCCTTCTCTGAAAGACTGCGCTTTGGGGAGCCGAATCCCTCAAGAGGCACGGGATGCCCCCAGCCCTGGGCAGGACCTACTTCCCCGTGCAGGCCTGCAACCCTGGCTCCCGCCCTATGGCGGGTACCGACTTGCCCGGCTCTGCGTGCTGCAGCCTGCCGGACTGCCACCAGGTCGGCTGATGGGAGCCACACGAGGTTCGTGTGCCAGAGCCTCCATGCCTGCCCCGTGCCCACTTGGAGCCTGGCTGCCCAGGCCCGCAGGCCTACCCAGCCCTCCTGGGCCTTGTTTGGGCCTAGAAGCAGGCAGGGGTGACAAGAGCTGCCCCTCCGACCTCTGCCCTCTCTTTCTCCGCAGCTGTGTGGCCGGCAGTCAGGCTCACCCCCGATGCCCGGTCCCCTTCTGCCCCCTGCCAGGCCCTGCCCTGGTGTGTGGCTCAGGCACCGGCTCAGGGCCTCGGATGCCCTGGAAGAGGACCCCATCTGCTGCGTGGAGGAAGGGGAGGAAGAAAGCGTGGTGACGGGAGACAGGGCTGTGGCTGTGGGGGTCTCCAGGGAGCACGCCCTGGACTGGGACTCTGGCTTCTCGGAAGTGTCAGGGAGCACGTGGAGAGAGGAAGAGGTGCCCGTTGCCCAGCACCCAACGCCCCCAGCGTGGGCCCCCCACAAACAGCGCCTCTCAACCAGTGGCATCCCTCTGGCCGGTGGGGCCCCTGTGGCCAGTGCACCACCTGCCCACCGACCACGGCCCAAGTCCACCCCAGATGCCTGCCTGGAGCACTGGCAGGGGCTCGAAGCTGAGGACTGGACAGCAGCCCTGCTGAGCAGAGGTCGCAGTCGCCAGCCCCTGGTGCTGGGGGACAATTGCTTTGCTGACTTGGTGCACAACTGGATGGAGCTGCCCGAGGCAGCCGGTGAGGGGGACGGAGGGGGAGGGCCCCGTGCCCGTGCTCGCCCCCCCCAGTTCTTGCTTGGCCTCTCAGAGCAGCTGCGGCGCCAGCTGGCCAGGGCGCGCCGGGCAGCTATGGTGGGAAAACGGCTGTCATGCCCCCCTCGCCCAGAACCCGAACTGCCTGCGGACGTCTCCCCCTTTGCAGCCCTCCTGAGCTGCCGCAGCCGCCAGCCGGTCATCTGCAGTGATGTTGCCAGCTACCTCTGACCCTGCCCTCCAGCCGGGACAATAAAGGCCTTGCTCTGGACTGGCCTGTTCCGTGAGGCAGCCCCATGCCTGGGAAGCACAGCCCAGGCTCTGATCCTAAAGCGCTCCTTCCCTCCTTGCAGGGTCCCTGGCCTGCCCACACCACCCCCTGTGCATTCCTGTCCCTCCTTCCCTTACCCTCTCCACTTACGTCTTTCTTCAACGAGCATTAATTGAGCACCTCGTGCCTCCTGGGGCTGGGACACAGGGCTCTAGAGAAGTGGGTGGTGGGGCTGCCTGTCGCCGCTCATAGTGCAGAGGCGGGCAAGCGGTGTCCTCGCCCTCCCAGCTGAGCTCCACGAGCACCCGCCTGGGCTCGGGCACCTGGCCTGTCACCTGCTGTGCCAGCTCCATCATCCTGGCGGAGTGGGGGACACGGAGTAGCTGAGCTGTGGCAGATGGAGTGTGGCTTGGCGTGGACTAGAGGGTGCTGGTGGGACCTGAGGAGCCCCAGCAGGAGCAGGAGCAGCTCAAGACAGGAAACATCTGAAACTATTTTAGGAGCGGCAGGCGGGGCTGGTAGGAGGCAGGAAGCGGCAGGTCCCTTGGGAGTGGGCTGTGAGAGGGGGGCTGAGCAGGCTGTGGGGGAGCCCTCGGGGCTGGTCCAGCAGGCAGCTCGTGGAGGCCTCTCCTCAGGCCCTCACCCTGCACCCCACCCCCAGCCCATTTGCCATCTCCATTTGGCAGAAGAAAGCTTCAGGTAGGTGTGAGGGGCCCGGATGGGGCCAGGAGGAGGAAACTCCTCATGTCCCCCACCTCCAACCTCTGGGGACAGAACAGTGCCTGGTTAAAGCCAGCGGTGGGCTCACCCGAGGCGCAGGTGCCGTGCCTGCTTTCAGGTGACCATCCTGCCAAACGGAGCAGGGCCCAGCCATGAAGCGGCATCTTTGCCCTCAGCCCATGTTGCTCCTAGAGAGACAGGTCAGGCGCCAACCGGGCCAGGGTGGGCTCAGCCTGGGGGAGAGGAACTAGGCCTGCCTGGAGACGGGCGGGCAACCACTCCAGGCTCCTCTCCGGCCGCCCAGCAGGCACCGTCCGGGGGTCCCAACAGGTCCACCTCAGGTGATGGAACTGGCGGTGCGGGGAGGAATAAGCAGCTTCTCACACACACCCTCCCCTTCCCGGTGACCAGCAGCCAGGCCCCTTTCCTAGGGGAGGAGCTGGACTAGAGACAGGAAGCAAAGCTGGGGGGTGGGGGTGGAAGGTGGGCTCTGGGCCCAGAGTCTCAGCACTCTCCCTCCCATGATGGGGCCAGCACAGGAAATGGGGCTATGGGGCCCCCGCACAGGGAAACAGGCAATCCATCACACAGGCGGGCTGGGGGTGGGGGGTGGGGGCCGTTGCTTCCTCAGGAAGTGGGAGCAGGGCCGCTGCAGTCTCTGATAAAGCCGCTTGCTCCTCAAAGCTGGGAGTTGGGGGGTGCGGCCTGTCCCCTAATCCTGTCCTGCCAGGGCCTTGGGCTATTACCTGGCACACGGGGGCACAGTGACTCCTGTAGGGAGTCCCCAGGCCTCCTCTTCCTGTCCCCTCTTTACTCCCCTATCTCAAGAGTCTTGGGGTTCTGGCACCTGCAGCTGAGGGTGGCAGGCAGCCAAAGGTGAGGACAGTGGGACCCTGCCGGTCCCCGAGAAAACAGTGGGGTCAGGCTGAGATGAGGCCAGAGGTGGGATGGAGGGATCCTCCCTCCCTCTGCCCCATAGACAAAAGCAGCTGTGTGCTAGCTAAAGGCGGCTCTCACAAAGGGGCTCTGTGTGCTGTGCCCTGAGGGACCCCTAAGCTGCTCAGCAGAAGCCTAGCGCTGGCCCATCACCTTTGCCCCGCACCCCCACTCCTGGGCCCCAGGGAAGTGCCGAGTACTGCTGATCCTGGGCTCCCAGCCTCCCAGCCCCGCGCTCACCAGAACACTGGCACGCATGTTCCCACACCCAAGCAGCCGCACCAGAGAGCCCACCTGGCACACTGATGTGGGGACACGCTCCCCCGATGCCCAGAGCCCAGGTATTCACACGAGCACACCCACCCCACTGGCCTGCGGACACCACACCCTGGTGGCAAGCTGGTGCCCTTTGACATGGGGGGGCAGGATCCCCAGCAGAAGTCAGACCCCATCTGGGGCTGGGGCAGAGGCCCCTTCCCAGCGCCTCCCCCTGGGCACTCTTGTGAAGAAGGGGGCTGTGCGGATGTCTGACTCCACTAATGAGTTAAAGCTGCCGCTCCCCCAGACCCAGGGCAGTGGAGGGATGAGGGGGATCTGACGGCTGCTTCCTGCATCTGACAGGTCCTAGCTTGGCTTTGCAGCAGGAAGGGGCTGAGGGAGTTCTAAGAGCTCCCCAGGAGTCTGGGTTCTGGTGCAGTCCATAGCCAGAGTAGGACCTGTTTGAGTTGGTGCAGGGAAAACCCAGGTCTGATGTGGGGAGGCTGTCAAGCACGCACCTTCTGGATGGCTGGGGCGCGAGGCACCTGGTGGCTAAAGCAGTTTTCAGTCAGATGGGTCAGGCACTGGGGGCCATTGCCTGACCAAGGCTTTATACAGCTCCGGGCCCAGCAGGCCTACCACAGCCACTGTAGTGGTGGCAATGGCTGGGATAATCCGGCCCATGGTTCCTTGCTCTGCCAAAGACAGGACATTTGTTCTGAACCCCAGATGAGGGCTAGGTTAGACCCCCACCCCCAGACCTGAGCCCCAAGGGGCAGGGTTTCCTGGGCACAGTTGGCCAGTGGGATCCCGTAGTTCTGAGCTCACGTGCCAAAGCCACATGGAAGTCGCTATCATGGTCCTGCAAGGCCCAAGCCAAGAGTGTTGACACTGTTCTGTGCCTGTCCCCATGGCCCACTGTGTGCCATCACACAGGTCTTCCCAGTCCTGAGGGCTGGGGGCTCACATTTCCCCTTGTCCCAGGTAAGGAGGCTGAGGCTTGGGTTGAGTGAGCTGCCCCTGGGGTCCTGCTGGGAGGAGGACTCAGGCCAGGGCCCAGAAGCTACCTTCTTAGTTCTGCGCCTCCCCATCAGCCTCCCTGCCCCAGCCCCGCCCCCACTGAGAGCCCCCGCTGTCTCAAATGCCAGGAGCTCTGTTGGGCCCACACTCCAGACCTGTAGGGGCTCATGCAGTCCTCCCAAGTGCTCAGGGCCTGGCGGGGAAGGGGGTGTCGGGCAGGCCTCAGCCCTGTTCCTGCACCCTAGTCAGCTAGTACCTAGTCTTGGTCTCTCTGCCAAGCCTGCACTTGCAGGGAGACCCCTCAACTGATGCTGCAGTTCCTCCCCAGGAGCCCCCTGCCCCCGGTGGGTGCATGGGTGTCAGTGCTTGCCTGCACACGTGCCCCTGTGTGACTCTGTCCTCACCGAGGGTGGGGGAAGCTAGCTGTTTCCCAGGCCCAGTGGTTTGTGGGGCTTTGTGCTGAGAATCTGCCCCAGGAACTGGGGTGGGGTGGGGAAGAGAGCAGGGAGAGCGCCTATGAGGGGCCCAAGCGTGAGCCCCAGCCTAAGGGGAGGCAAGGTCAGAGGGCCTGAGAGGCAGTGAGCTGGCTCCATCCTCCTCCTGCCGCCCAGGCCGAGGACAGGGTCAGGTCCTTGGGTGGCAGCCTGCGGGGCTGGGGTGACTGCCAGGGACCTCACCAAATTCAGCAGCGGCCCGAGCCAGCTCCAGGTTACCAGCACGGTTGGGAAGGGGATCCCCAGGTGGTGGGGGCCAGGCAGTGGCAGGAACTTCAGCCGTCCCCTGAGCACAGTCTGGGGTGTGAGCCAGGCAGCCCGTGCATCTGGGCATACAGGTCAGCAGCCGCCAGCACACAGAGGAGGGGTGTGTCCTGCAACTGGACCAAGAGCAGGGGCTGCCAGAGAAGACTGGGCCCTGCAGAGACAGGAAGAAGTTTGGGGCTAAGCCGTGAGGACTCTGGCTCTCAGCGCCCCCTGTTGGTGGCCTTAGTGATGGTGTTGGGTGATGGTCTCATCAGCCAGATGGAAGAGCCCCTCAAAGACATCCCAGGCCCACTGTGGCGGGGTAGGAATGTGAGGTGTCAGGTGGGGACCAGGTAGGTGTCCCCTGGGTGCTCTCTACCTGCAAGGGGCGCTTGATTGTGCTGGGGAAGTGCCGCCCGGTGCTGACAGGGTGGCAGTGTCCTCAGAGGCGGGGGCTCTGTAGTCCTCAGTTACCTGCGGAATGAACACTGAAGCCCTGGCCCAGCTGCCCTGCGTGTCTGCCTCCAGCCGTGGCTTCAGATAGCAGGTGCAGCAAGCAGCCTCATGGCGCCCTGCAGTGGGGCAGAGGGTCAGGAGGAGGCTGGTGCAGCCTTGGACAAGGGCCTGAGTTCCCACACCAAGCACTCACAGCCCTGGGCACTGCCCAGGGCGGCTGCCACACCATCCCTGCGGGAGGAGCTGTGTCCGAGGATGTTCTCTGTGGCGGGATCTGGCGGCTAGGTGGGTGAGGTTGCCCCCGAGTCTGAGCTCAGGTGGTGAGCAGCCTCTGCAGCCAGCTCTGCCTTGGGCCTCTGAGAAGAAAGCAGCATGTGGGGTGGTGGGCGTGTGGGCCTTGTGGGAGGACAGCCTGGGGCACAGGGCTGCAGGGAGGGGCTGGCATTCCCAACAGTGTCCTGGGACCTGAAGAGGAACTGGCGCCTGAGACTGGAGTGTTCTTCGGGATCCAAGATGGCAGCAATCGCCCCCAAGGGTCCCCAGGCCCATTAGGGTCAAGCCTTTGAACAGCACGCAGCCCACAGTGCCACACTCAAGTGTAGACAGGAACAGCCTTAGCCAGAGTCTTAGGCCCCCAGGCACTCCCAGCTTCCCCACCCTGCTCACCAGGACACAGTGCCAGTGGCTCGGCTTCCTCTGAACACCAGGCCCAGACACCTTGACCTGCCCCTCGCGGCGGCAGCCCCTCCCAGAGCACAGACCTGGGGCACCGATGCCTCTCCTCCTTGCCCTGAGTTTTCCAGGTCAGGGCCTCAGGACCCTTTCCTCTATTTCGGTCCCCAGTCTTGAGCTCAGCTAAGGCTTGCACTCCGACCCAGCTCCTCACCATTGTGAAGTCCTCAGGATTGGGAAGGGGGTCCCCATCTTCTGGAAGACAGTGGAGGGCACCCAAGTAGAGCCACTGGCCCTGGGCATGAGCTTCCAGGAGACTGCCTAGAGGCCAGCACTTGGGTCCAGGGGTCACTGCCACCTCTTAACCCCTCAGGATCCGGCAGGGGGGCCGAGCCAGGGTGTGAAGCCTCCAGGCTGCTGGCTGGTGTTGGGCACTGACACCCACCCACACTGAGCCCGTGCCCTCCCAGGCTGGCCTGCCTGTGTCTGTGCCCACCTCCAGCACTTCCTGGGCAGCCTGGCACCCAGCAAGGCTGCCACGGCGCTCAGGCCACCCACACACTCAGGGCCTCATCTAGCAGCTCAGGTCATGGCTCGCCCTGTCCCCTTCAGGGGTTCTGGTGCCTGGGCCCGGCCCACCGCCATCTCTGCACACACGTCTGGGGTGGAACTCCACGGGCCCAGCTCCGCCTTCCCTCAGGTCCTTCAGATGCGCCCACCCCGTTCCACAGGAGGCAGAGCCTGAGTGGGCAGCCCTATTAGAGGATGCCTGGTGCCAGCCGGTGCCCCTGAGGCTTCACCAGCCTGGTGTGGCTGCCAGCTGGGCTCTGAGGGGTCAGGAGGTAGCCAGTGTCCCTGGGCCCTGGGCCTGGCCCTTTCAGGGGCCTGACCTCTGGTCTGGACATAGTGTTAGACTCCCTTGATATGAGTGGGCAACTGCCTCTGGCATTCACACTTGGGTCTGTGAGGTAGACAGAGGCTGGCGCACCCACAGGGTACCAGGGCCTCCATGGGAGGCCATGGCGGTGCTGGGCCTGGTGCAGTGCACAGAAAGCCTGAGGCAGGCAGCAGGCACACTGCATCTCCGGAATGGGCAGTTACGGGGTTGCAGCAGGGCTGCCTCCAGAGGCCCCTGCAGAGGGCCTGTTGCTCGGGTGGCCCACACGCGGGGCCCACGGGCTCCCACACTCCGTGCCTCAGAGTCACCTGCACTCACGTGGCTCACATGCGTGGGCCCCAAATGCAGGTCACAGGAGAAAGTCGCCGCGTCCCAGTCTCTACGGTCCTGTCCCCTGGAGGAGAACCAGCCTAGTCAGCATGATGCCAGACCTTAGTTCCCACACGCCCTCCTGTCCCGCGTCGTGCCCCCAACCTTGCTGCCCCTCGAGGATGGTGGAGGGAGAAGCTGTCTCCAGGACAAGGCCGAGGGCCCTGTGGGGCTGGGGGCTGAGCGTGGAGTTGGAGGAGGTGGGCTTCCCCGGCTCTCCGCCAGGCTGGGAGCACAGCAGTTGAGCCCCACCCCCAATGCCCAAGAAAGTCACTGAGTCCCCATCACAGGAGCGGTGGACATCAGCCTCTGTTCTCGCAGTGAGAACGGCGGGAGAGCCCTGGACGAGAGGGGGCTTGCCTGGGGGTGCCCGTGCCTGCCTCCCACATGCTCCAGTAGGCCCCTCCTGGTCAACAGTGAGCACCATGCCTTTGCACCCCCTGGGGGCTGTGCCGGAGGGCAGCGTCAGGGGCTTTGCCTCTGCAGGGTCCTGCACAGTGAGGCCTCACTGGAGTCACAGAACTGCCTGTGGTGGGGGTGGGGGGTCACAGGAGGCTCAGCGGTCCACTGCTTGACTGTGGTGAAGGGTGGGGACACTCGGGCAAGCCCAGAGGGCCCGGATTCGGGAGGAATGCTGGGAAAGGTGGGCAGCTAGAGGGTGTGGGGGTTTCTGGAGCAGTTTGCAGGCTGGGGTGGAGGAAGCAGGGGGGTGGCACTGAGGACCAGGGTCTGGAGGGGCGCGAGACGGGTCTGGGGCTGGGCAGGCAGTCCCACTCACCCCACCAGGCCCCAGGTGTCAGCCACCAGAAAGCAGATGCCCAGCTTGTGGCATAAGGCACCCACCTTCAGCTGCTCCTCCAGCTCTGAGGCCGTCAGCACCACCGCCTGCAGACCCCATGTCAGCAGGGCTGAAGTGAGGCCTGGGCTGGCATGGAGCGGGGGTTGGGGGGTCACCTTGGAGTCCTGCCAAGCCCAGGAGCAGGTCCTCAGTGACATCCCCAGATCCCCTGTGTGGATGCACACCTGGACAGCTCCGCTGAGCTCAGCTACCAGTCCTTGCTCCTTTCCAAGTCCTGCTCTGAGAGGAGAAACTGGAGGGAGACCCGGTCTGGCTTGAGCAAGGAGCTTTTCCTTGGGCCCTTCCTCCACCTGCTCTGGGAACCCATGGCCCCCAGGACCCTCACCTGAGCGGCTAGGTCAGGCCAGCAGGTGGGTGGGATCATACAGGGCGAGGCTGCCCGTGCCTAGCAGGACCAGGTTTTCAGCCGCCTCAGCCTCAAGGCCCTGAAGGCCTGACTGGAGGGCCATGGCCCCCTGAACCCACCTGTGGGTGGGAAGTGAGAAGGCAGGTTACTGGAAATCAGGAGGCCATCCCACCCCACTCTCCCCGCGACCCCAGGCCTCACAGCTGGCCTGAGTACGGCCCCTCACCCAGCAACAAGGAGGTGTCCTGGAGGGCCGCCGCGAGGCCGAGGGCTGGGTGGTGGGTCTGTGTGCGGGAGGCGACACCGGGGCCCCGCTGCGGCTAGCGCACAGGCACTGGGGCTGAGCGAGTGAAGGACACTGCGGGTCACAACTTTCTGCCCGGTTCTTCTGCCATTTCAGGGAAATGTAGAACTGAAAGCAGACTTTGAGCCCGCTACTGGGTCCTGCCTCCTGCCTGTCCCAGACAGCCTAGACTGTCACAGCTGAGTTCTGGCGGCCCTGGGGCACAGGCAACATGGGACAGAATTGGGTCTGTCTGCCTCTGGGAGAGCAGATATCTCTAGAGGAAGGGGACAGGGCCACGGGAGGGAGTCATGTGGGCTTGATGCCACAGTCTTCTATGGCTCCCTACATGTCCCAAACCTCAGGCCCCTGCCCCTCAGGGCCCTTGCCTGATGCGTGTCCTGCCACGGAGTGCTGGTGGGAACCACCTGTCTCAGCGACTCTCCTGGCCTGCTGTGCACCACACAGACTTATAGACCCCAGAGGACAGGGCCAGTGCCGTCCCAGAGGCCACAGGCACACATGGGCTGCATTGTCCCCCCCCCAGGACCCCCACCACAGACCTGGGCAGAGCCTGACACTTTCGAGAGAGTCTGCTTGGCCTGGAGCCACTCCTTGGAGAATAAGGGTTTCCCCAGACCAGGACAGACGGTGGCCCTGGGTGGCCAGTCAGGGGTGCCCAGGTCTCAGAGTGGGCGGTCAGTCGCTGAGTGCCAGACCTGAGGGTGGGAGGCACAGGGCAGCCACAATCATGTGTCCTTACTTTGCATTTAAACTTTCATTTGGAATGATTATAGACTCAGAGGAAGCTGCAGAGCAGAGCTGTCCTGTGCAGCCTTCAACCACAGGCGTGAGCTTCGGCCTTCTAGGACCCGGGGGCAGCTCTCTGGAGGATGGGCTACAGGTTCCCACAAAATTCCAGGAGCTAAACCACATGCTGTCACAAGTTCTTCTTTAAAAATTGATGTAAAATTCACGTAACAGTAAAATAACCATTTTAAAGTGTCCAATTCAGTGGCATTCGGTATATTCACAATGTGTTACCCCTACTTTCAAAGCTTTCTCCTCACCCGTGAGGGGCACAGAGACAGTCATTGATGCTACCCTGCCCCTGCCCCGACCCTCTGAGCTCCCAGCAAACACTCATATTCTGTCTCTAAGAATTTGACTATTCTGGACATTTCATTTAAGAAAAATCATACAAAATGAACTTTGGTATCTGCTTTCTTTTACTTAGCATGCTTTTGAAGTTCACCCAAATTGAAGCATGTATCAACACTTCATTCCTCTTTATGGCTGAATAATTCTTCCCATGTGCATCAATCACAATTTGCTTATCCAGTCACCTGCTAATGGGCATTTGCGCTGTCCCCACCTTGGATGTTAGGGGTACTGCTGCTGTGGTCACCCTTAAACATGTATTTGAGTGCTGCTTTCAATTATTCTGGGCATATGCCTAGGAGTGGAATCACTGCTCACAGAGCAATTCTGTCTTTAATTTTTTGAAGGCCCAACAAACTGTTTTCCATCAGCAATGTACAAAATTCCTGTTTCTCCACATTGTGGCAACACTGGTTTTTCTTTTTAAAAAATTACACCCCTCTTAGTGGATGGGAAATAATAAGTAATAATAGTTTTGATTTTTATTTTCACTCAAAACAGTTACTGGGTGCATCGTATGTACTGGAAACCAGAGCCAGATTATCTTTTTGTGACTGGCTTATGTCACTTAGCAAATGCCCTCCAAGTCCATCCATGTTGTGATATACTGCAGAATTCCCTTCCTTTTATATCCCATTGTGTGTATATACTATGTTTTGCTTACCCATTCATCCACCAATGAACATTTCTGTAGTGTAGGTGGGATAGCTCTGTTATCCTCTCAGTACAGCTTTTGGGGCATCCCATTAGTTTGGTACATTGTGTTTTCATTTCCATTCATTTTAAAGTATTTTGCTAACTTCTCCTGTGCTATCTTCTTCAGCCTGTTGATTGTTTAAGGGAGCGCTGCTTCAGTTATGTCAGGGCAGACGGCACAGTCAGAAAGTTCCAGGAACCCTCCCCTCCGCTGAAACAAATAAAGCTGTCTGAAGCATTAAGTTTGGAAATTTCTAGTTGAATAGAACACTTCTGCATCCCGGGGAAAAGCAGAAGAGGTGAGTACATTTCAGTGAATTTCTCCTTTTCTCATAACTGCTACTACCCCTAGGCTTCTGTCAGGGAACCACACAGAAGGGGAGCATCCCTATCATCTCTCACACCTCACACCACACACCCAATTTCCTATGGAAGCATGTCTTGGTCGCTCCCAATTTTTTGGCAATTATTAAATAAAGCTGCTATGAACATTCATGTGCAGAGCTTTGTGTGGACATAAGTTTTCAACTCATTTGGGTAAGAATGGCTGGGTTATGAAGCCATGCTGATCTTTGTAAGAAACTGCCAGCATGGCACCTTGCCTTCCCACCAGCAATGAATTCCTGTTGCCATTGCCCCCATCCTTGCCAGCATTTGGCAGTTTTGGACCTTAGCCCTTCCATCAGGATGCAGCGCCAATCTCACGGCTTCACGTGCAGCCCTCTGATGACATGATGTGGGGCATCTTCACATATGCTTATTTGCCAGCTGTGTATCTTTGCTGAGGTGTGTGTAAAGACTTTTGCCCATTTTTTAATTGGGTTGTTTTCTTATTGTTGAGTGATAAGAGTTCTTTGCATATTTTGATTACAGGTCCTTTATCAGATATGTGTTTTGCAAAGATTTTTCTCCCAGACTTTGGCTGATCTTTTCATTTCTCTAACAGTGTCTTTCACAGAGCGGAAGTTTTGAGTTTTAAGGAAATCCAAATTATAAATGTTTATCTTTCATGGATCATGCTTTTAGTGTTGTATCTAAGAAGTCTGCCCCAAACCCAAGTTCACCTAGATTTTCTGCTATTACTAGGAGTTCCGTAGTTTTGCGTTTTACATTTAGCTCTAGGACCCTTTTTGAGCTGATTTTATGGAGGGTGTGAGGCCTGTGCGTCTAGACTCATCTTGGCATGTGGACGTCCAGCTGCTCCAGCACCGTCTGTGGAAACCTGCCCCCTTCACTGAACTGCCGGTGCCCCTCTGTGAAAGGTCAGTTGGTTATGTTTGTGGGGCTCTACTTCTGGGCTCTATTCTGTCCTGTTGATCTATTTGTCTATTTTTTTTTTACCAGTAATAAATTTTGAAGTTGGGTATTGTCATTCCTCTTAGTTCTACAATATTGTGTTGGCTATTAGTCTTTTGCTTTTCCATAGAAACTTTTGAGTCAGTTTCTTGTTTTTAACCAAATAACTTGTTGGGGTTTTACTGGGACTTTGCTAAATCTGTAGATCAAATTGGGAAGAACTGTGTCTTCCTATCTCTTGATCTGGAAAATCTCTCCATCTATTTAGATCCTGGATTTCTATAATCAGTTTTGGAATTTTCCTCATATAGATCTTGTACATATTTTATTAGATTTATGCTATTTTTCTTTTATTTCTTTTTCCTCTTCCTCTCCACTTCTTGGTGCTAATGTAAATGGACTTGTTTAATTTTGATTGTTCAATTGCTGCTATATAAGGAAGCAATTGACTTTTGTGACTCCAGCAAATCTTTCATTTCAGATCCAAAATTTGTGTCAAATTCTTTCTTTACTGTACAAGGGCCATGCTTTCCTTTTTATATTTTGTTGAGACCTCGATATTCTAACTATCGTCATGGTAACTCTGGAAGCTGGACTTTCCCACTCCGCGGGGGTCGCTGACTTTGCTTCTTGAGGCCGGAGCTGTCTGTCTGTGACTTCTCCGGACTATTCTGCTAAGTGTGTTTTCCTCGTGGACATCGCTGAAGGTCTGTTCCACTGTGTCTGCAGGCAGCTGACAACCTGAGACTTCCTGGCTGCAGGTAAAGCCCTGGGCATCACCCCAGCCTGAACTCCACCACCCCAGGCACCACACCCAAGGGGGAGGCCAAGGCAGGCACCTTGGGGGCCCCAGGTCCGCCAAAGGGCACAGCCCCACACTCTGGAGGGCAAGGCTCCCACTGCCTGCCCTGACACCATTGGCTGCTTCTGGAACCCCCCTAAACTGGTGAGGCTGGAAGAATGGGGGTGGTGGCTGGTTCAAGCACAGGATTTCCCTTATCTGGTCAGGTCCAGAGCTCTGAGGCAGTTGATTACAATTGCTCCTTCCAGCTCTATATATTAGGTCTGTCATAATTTGGGGGTTTTCTTTGTAGTAACCATCATCACTACCCACTTGCAAAACTTTAAAATCACCCAAACAAAAGCTCTGTACCCATTAAGCAGTAACTCATTTTCCCCTCACACCAGACCATGATCACCTCTATTCTAGATACCTTGGGTAAAGGGACTTGAATGATACTTGTTTGTTGTGTCTGACTTATACCCCTAATCTGCTCTGGGTCCCTAACCTAGAATGTGTGAGGTCCTGTCCCTGGGAGGCCAGTGCCCTTGTCCCTTTAACGGCTCTGAGTACAGAGCAACTAGGTCTCTGCCTTACCACTCAGCTGGTTAGGGCGTGGATGCTGCCAGGTGGCCCCTACATCCTTAACTCCAGGCACCCCAGAACGCAGACAGTCATCCCCAAGAGCCACCTGCTCCCGTGGGCGGGGCTGCCAGAGGATGGCTGGGCTCCCGGCCTGAGGTGCCTTCCCGCCTGGCTCCCTGGCCCTGGCCCATGCTGGGCCCTGCACATGCGGGTGAGCCCCCCTCAGTGGTGACAGGGAAGCTTAGGGGCCTCACCCAAGCTGGGGGTCAAAAAGGGACCCCTCTAGGAGACAACGCTTGTGAAACGGACCCCCAAAGGCCAGTGACTGGGCTGGCAGAGCTGAGGGGCGGGGGAGGTGACCCCTGGGTATCTGCTGTCCTTGCTGTGACTCCCCAGGGAGGGAGGCCTCAGTTTACCCCAGCTCTCCTGCTGACAGGCCTGGGGTTGTGCTGGCTGGACTGGACAGTGTTGCAGCGCCCCTTCTGGCCAGTCTCCCTGTGACCCGGGAGGCTGCGGGGCCTGAGTCCAGGAGAAGGTCCCACTCAGGAAGCCATGTCAAACGGCTTCCCAGAGTGTTGCCACAAGCTTACAGAGCCAGGAAGAAAAGCGTCTCATTTTTATTTTACATAGATATCTTCCCCCCATCACCCTCATTCCCCGTCCCTGCTCGGCCCAGGCCATCCCTGGTAGCAAGGCAGAAGCTGCCCGCAGAGCCCCAGCACTCTGGGCAGGAGAGTCAAGGGAAGGCCCCATTCTGGCCGGCCAGCAGCCCACCCGTCTGGTTGTGGCTGCGAGCCTGGAGTAAGGAGCAAACTGCCGGCAGGGCGGGACGGCAAGCTGGTCCCACCAGCCCCGCAGGCGGCCCTGGCATGGGGGCGGGCAGGGTGAGGTGAGGACAGGAGCGGCAGTCTCTGGGCTCACCCTCACCCCCAGCTCCTATCTGCCCACGCCAGCCCCAAGGTGGAGGCGCCCATCTGGCCATGGCTCAGACTCACTGTCTTCACTACCACAGGAAGGTGTCCAGCTTGGTCTGGGAGGGAGGCAGCACAGCCCTCGCTCCCGCTCTCTGCTTAGCCTTGGCCTTGGGCTTGATGGACAGTGGGCGGATCACAGTCACGTCAGTCTGAAGGAGCCGTCAAGGAAGAGGTGCGCAGCAGGGACTGGAATGCAGCCGGAACGGCTGAGACCTGCGGGCAGGCAGGCAGCCCTGCTACACGGAGCAAGGCCTGACTGCGCACACCTGAGGCTGCAGCCCCCGGCAGGCTGGGGCCTGGGGGCACAGGTGAGGGATGGTACGAGCTCTCTACCAGCTCAGCCCAATGCCACAGAACAAGGATACAGGCTGGATGAATTTTGTCCGGCCTCCAAGCCCATCAAAGCCTGTCCTTACCTAAAGCAGAAGGATGAGGTGAGCGGGCCCCCCAGCCCCACCCGAGGGCTGGCACCTGCCACTTGTGGGGAGCCCCACTCACCACATCTGTGCTGCGACAGGGCTCTGCCCTGGCCCTCTTGGGCTGCTTCTGGCCGAGGACGGTGTTCCGGATGAAGAGAGGGAAGGCACCAGCCGGCTCGCCACCTGGCTCTCCCACATGGAGCCGGCAGCCCAGCGAGAGCTGGGGCTCCTGCAGGGGAGACCCCAGGGCCAGACCTGATGAGCGGATGGCACCCAAGGAGCGGGCAGCAGTGCTGCGGGCTGGGACCAGGATCTCGGACACCTCATCGGGGGCGGGAAGGACAATGTGCAGGCTCCCAAGGGAGGCCTGAGGTGCCTCTATCACGGGCCGGGCGCGAGAGGGCTCTGGGAAGTCTCTCAGAAGTCTGGCTTCACATTCAGTCCTGGCAAGGGTTGGGGGCAGCTGCCAGAGCTCCCGGGAAGCCTTACCTGCTTGGGGCCTTTGGCTGCCTTCCTGGGAGCATCCTGAATGGCAGAGCTGCAGGAGCGACATGAAAACAAGAGGCAGGTGGGCGACGGGCCAGGGTGGCCAGTCAGCTCAGCCCGTGCCCCAGGAGCCTCCCTGTGGCATGGCTGCTGGCACAGCTGTGCGCCGGGCCGGGCACCTCGGTGAGCAATTTTCCGAGGTAGCCAATGGCCAGACAGGTAGAGGCAGGGAAGTGGGCCATTTCCCAGTCTTGTGACTTCCGCACAGGGCCAGGCCAGTTCAATGTGCCCCAGGTCCTCAGGCACCTCACCACATCCTAGGCTCTGTGTGGGCCAGGAGAGCCCAAGCGCTTCACCACCCACAGGACGGAAGCCAGTCACACCCTGACACAGGCAGAATGCAGCCAGTGACCTCAGCCCCAGCCCTGTTGCCCAGAGGCCACATCTCCACAAGCGCCTTGGTGAGTTAGACGGCCCAGATAGTGCTTAGCCCACAGGGCTGCATGCCACCTAGGTAACCGTGCCGCAGCGTCGCGGGCAGACAGATCATGACCCTTGGCCCTGCCCTCCCACAGCCAGCTCCAAGCTGCACAGTCTCCCCACCCAACTCCTGGGGGTCCTGGCAGCTGGATACCGTCTCCTGGTACTTCCCAGGTGGGTAGGAGGGTGGTGACCTAAGGCTGACTCTGCAGCTTCTCAAAGCCAAGGGACCTGGGCAGGCTTAGGGCCTGCTGACTCTGGACCTCTCTGTTCCTGCCCCCACAGCCTGTGGTGAGGCCACATGAAGACCACAGGGAAACTCTCCACTTGCTGCAAGTCTGGCTCTGAGGAGGTTGATCCAAGCTGTTCTCCCCCATTGCCTCTGCAGGCCCTGAAGATGGTAGAAATGTCTCTCAAATGCCTGGCAGCCTGCAGGCCCCAGGTGCCCACTTTCAATCTTTCTAGCTAAAGAGGCACCACGAGGAAGCCAGGGTATGAGCAGGTGTCAACAGGCCCCCTGGCTGCAGCCCACAGACTCTAGGTTTTCCCCAGTGCTGCGGGCCTGCGTGGACTGCATGGGTGCCTCCGCCCAAGGCTGGGGCAAGGTGGAGAGCCCAGCGGCCTTCCCTTCTGTCCCTCCCTGGCCTTTGCTCCCTCCACTGCCAGGCAGCTCAATCTCTTTCTCATGTTTGGAGTCTCTGATTACGAGGAAAGCTTCTCAGCCCTACGCCCCTTACCTGAGCAGCACACACCTCCACATATGTAAGCAGCTCTTGAACCCGTGATGAGCTCCGCGTGACTGGCCCGGCCACGGGGACAGCAGCGGCGTTCCTACTCCCCCGCAGCCGCACAGGTCCCGCCCGCCCCCTGCGGCCTCACACAGCCCCTCCAGACTGCCCTGCGGGTTGCCCCCTTAGGCAGGGGCCCTGTGCATCCCTGTTGGGGATGGTCCTGCCTCAAGAACGAGCCTGACAGGCACGCAGGGGAAGAGGGATCATAGTTCTTGCCTCAGGACTCTGGTGGGCAGGCCCTTAAGGTACTGGCAGCCCCCCTGCCCACCCCGACCCATGTCACCATCAGCCATCAGCCCAGACCTGCCCCTCGTGCTTCTCTCCGACCCACACCCCAACACCTCTGCTGGAAGGGTGCTGGTGGATATCAACATCAGAGAGACTAGCAGGGGAAGGGCTTGCTGAGGGGGCACTCGGGGGAGGGTGTAAGAGGCGCTGCGGCCGAGCTGGGCGGCCCGCAGAGCTCAGCTGCGCCCCCTGCAGGCCACTTACGGTGCCTCCTCCCGGTGGAGCTTCTTGGGGTGGCCTTGCTGGCTGCCGGAGGGCGGGGCTGGGGGCGTGTTCACATCAAAGGTGACATTGAGGTCAATATCGTCACTGAAGGCTGGCCGGGGAAGCTTCAGGTTCAGCATCTCCAGAGGGGCTGGGCTGCAGGCAGAACGGCCTGATTACAGGACCACGGTGGCAGAGCCCATCAGGCGTCAGACACGGCTCAGCCCCAGGGGCCTGAGCCCACGCCCGGCTCAGAGGCTACCGTTGCAAGAAGCCCTGATCTCAACAGAAAAGCACTTGGCTTTGTCATTCACACAGTCGCGGGACCAGGTGAAAGTCTGGGAGACACAGGACGGTAGCAAGCAAAACCCACACAAACCCAAACGTACAAACAAAAGGCTCATGTCTTTGACCACGTAGCCTCATTTCTCAGAATGCAGGGCACGGAGCCAGAGATGCGACCACAGGCTAATGTAGGGGGGTGTCCCCTCCGGTGCTACTTATGGTAAATAGCACCGTGTTAGAAACTGTCAAAATGACTCCCCTAGCAGGTTGATGATTTCACAGCTTTCATATGATGTCAATGAATGTATCACATCAATGAATATGATAAAGTAGTGTTTCTGGAAAGAAAGTTAATATGGGAAAATGCCTGTATGTTAAATTAAAAAAGCAGCAAACTCTGTATAACAGGTAACAAAAGAAAAAAAAAGACAAACTGGACTTCATGAAAATTTAGTAACTTGCACATCAAAAGATACTACCAGCATGGTAAAAAAGGCAATCCACAGAATGGAATAAAATGTTTGCCAATCCTCTCTCTGATACGGGATTAAAATCCAGAATATACCGAGCACTAAGACTCAATAATGGACAAAAGCCTGACTCACAAACGGGCAAACGAGTGGTAGCCACCTCTCCAGAGAAGAGTCACAAATGGCCAACGAGCACAGGAAAAGATGCGTCAGCACCCCCAATCATTAGGGAAGTGCAAATCAGAATTGCCATGAAATACTGCCTCCCACCCACTAGGTTGGCTACTATAAAACCAAACCAAAACAAAACCCAGAAAATGACAATGAAGATGTGGTGAGCCCTTGTGCCTTTTGGTCGGAATGTACAACGGCGCACCTGCTGTGGAAAATCAGACAGAACGTATAACGGTGGTTGCCAGGGGCTGGAGGAAAGTGCAGACAGTTTTCCAAGATGAGAGAGTTCTGGGGAGGGTCAGTGGGGATGACACCGTCAACATGCTGACCACCACTGAACTCTGCACGGAAGAACGCTGGTGACTGTCACACCACATGTATTTCACCACAGGAATTCTGGGAGATCACTCTGTATGGTGCCATCACATGTGGTGCACTGTCCTCCCCCCAAATAGAGAAAAGGCTGGAAGGACATACTCCGCACATCAAGAGTGACTGCCTGTGAAAAGTCCTACTTTCCAAAGCCTTACAATGTGGGGAGGGTATGATTAAGAAATTGCAGACAATGGGGTTTTTCTGGCCCATGCAGGCCTGGTGGGGCTCTCCAGCTCCTATGGTCAGAGAACTTGGGGAGTGGCAGGGGCGGCCCCCAGAGCACCCTCCTTCCTGTCCTTAGGAACCTTGCAGCGGTGCCCAAAGGCCCAAGCCTGCTACACAGGACTAGGCAGATGCACGAAGGAACAGCAGTCTCTGCCTGGGAACCCACGGGGCTGTGCAGATCAGAGGAAAGGTGACTATTTGCCCTCACTGGGCGGGTAAGCAATGGGGGCAGCTGGCACTCTCCCCTTTCCCCGGCCTGGCCCTGGGAAGCTCTGCCCCTCCTGTGCTTGCAAGTGGAAACAAAGGCCACACAAGCCCACCTCAAACCAGCTCCCTGACGGCTGCTTTGCTTTCCCCTCTGGGAACCATAGCATAAAGCTACAGCCAGGACCACTCCCGCCAACCTTTTTGCCATCGTGGATCCACCACAGAGAGTCCAAGACCCTGAGGAGAAGTGGGCAGGCCTGGCTGGGGGAGCCATTTGCCCTGCAGGGTGCTCTCAGCAGGGCCGCCTGCTACCCTTCCAGACCCCATCCAGCGGTGCTTCCTGACCATCATAACACCCAGCGCCAGGCTCAGGAGCTCTAGGAGGGCCTCCTTCAGCCCTTGCCTAGTCTGGCTCCTGTGAACACAGCCCTTGTCCCCTCAGACTGTTCACAGTACATTCTGCTTCCTTTAGGAGCTCAAACTGTTTCCCTTCTTGCCTAGGGCTTTCTTCTGTCTGTCCGAGGAGGAAGAGGCCTAGCACCCCTCCCTCACGGGCAGAGGTCCTGACTTGGGGCCCTCCCGGGCGGTACGGTCGCCTCTGGGGCACTCACCCACGGCCGACATGGAAGGCTTCCTGCCAGAGGCGTAAGGAGCGGAGGAAGTCAGAGTCCTCTGCTCAGAACAGCACCGAGGCCTGAGCACAGTCCTCACCTGCGAGGCACAGGGCCCGGCGATGTGTCCTCCATGTGGTCATGGCACCTGAAAGGCCTACTCTCAGCGACAGCTCCCCAACTCCCTTCAGCCTGGAGGCAGGGGCCCTTGGGATCCATGAGAGTCCTCCCGAAGGGGGTGAGAGGCCTCCTGAGGCCTCCCTCAAATGACAGGAGTGAAGGGTGACCCTACTGTAATAAATGGAACAGGCAGCCTCCATCAGTACCCATGGACTGCCCGAGTTCTAGGACACAGCATGACCAGGCACAGGAGACTCACACAACTGCCAGAGCCCACAGGAGAGGGCTGTGGGCACAAGGCAGGCCCAGGAAAACCCAGATGCGCAGACACACTGAACAGGCCTGAGCCTGGGGCGTAAGCTTGGCCCCACCCCCTACGCTGCCACCCTGGGCCTTTCCCAGGAGGAGAGCAAACTGTCTACAGTGACTCAGGGCTGCCAGTTTGGGACCTGAGAGTAGAGCCTCTGCATCCTGGGTTCAGGTGAGGCTCAGCATGATGCCAGCTCACTGCACACTTCCCCCAAATCCTGTGCACATAGGATGGGTTCCCAGGCAGCCTTTCTGTTACCCCTCAGAGGGTCACAGGCAGACAGAGACCCCTAGGAATGGGAGGGAAGTCCAAGAGAAAGGCCATGATCTATAAACACTGATTCCAAGAGACAAAATGCTAGACCATAAAATAATGAATAGTGTATTTTGCAAAGGATATACTCAGAGAGCAAGAAAAAATGCTTGCAAACAACACAACTGCTGGTTCATCCTTAAAGAGGAAGGAACTTCTGACACACACTACAGCATGGATGAACCTGGAAGACACTGGGCTAAGTGAGAAAAGCCAGAACAAAAGGACAAATACTTGATTCCACTCACATAAGATTCCCATAGTCAAATGGAAAGACACAGAAAACAGGGCTGGTGTCCCCTGTGAAGGGCTTGGTGGCCGGCAATGGCTGCAGAGGGGGCCATCTGGGGCCTGGTCCACAGAGGCCATAGAAGGCGGCAGCCTGAGCTGCACCCCTTGTTACGCATGTGCTGTGTGCCCCCTACCTGTCTGTCCTGCCACCTCCGTCCTGCAAGCACATATCAAATTGGAGTGGCTACAGTGCAAGAGCTCAACAGCCACACATTGCCATGGTCACTGAACTGGACCAGGTGGTGCTGGGTGGGGAGACAGAAGGGCAATCAAGGGGACTCCACGTGAAGGGGTGAAAGTAGGCCCCATCCAAGGGAGCACACTACACCGCTCCCACATGTTCCATCAGCCTGGAAAACCGGGGCTGCCCCAACTGCCTGCCAAGCCTGGCTGTGCTGGGGACACAGGCAAGGCTGTGCAGAGCAGCTGAGCCCTCAGTGGGGAGCGCTAACGCACACCACGGCAGACTGGGAAGGCAAGGCGCGCTGGAGCCTGTGGCCCACGGTGGCCCATGGCCGGGTCCTATGAGGGCCTCGGGCCCACGCCAAGGGGCTGGGGAGGTGTCTGGTCAGGGAGGAGTGCCATGACGCCCGGGGCAGTCATGCTGGGCAGAAAGGAGCAGAAGCACGCTCACAAGCCTCACGTGGAAGTGGTTACAAGGCAAAAGGTCAGGAGGCACTACAGGGGTTAGATGGGCAGACCCAGCAACCGGCGGCTGTGGGGAAGAGGGAGCGTGATGATTTTCCAGTGGACATCAAAATGTGGCTCGAATAAAAGGCTAGGTGCCTAAGTCATGCATTTTTGCCTGGGCCACCAGCTGGGCAAGAGACAGCCCAGGGGGTGCCCTCAGCCTGCCAGCTTCTGGGACCCACTCAGGAGGAGGAAGGCCTGGCTGCTCCCTCAGCCTCTTGGCTCCCTCTGCTGGCAGCTCTGCTGCACACATTCCCGGGACGGAGGGATGATTTTGGAATGGTTCCGTGTTTGTCTATCCGGCAGACAGATGTATGTGCGGTGAGCTGTTCTGTAAGCAGGAAGCCCACTGACAGCCAATGCACCTGCCCCTTCTGCGCCCACCCCAGGTCCTCTCGGGCCTGCCCCGGCCTCTCCTGGGCAGAGCCTACAACTTGCCCTCAAGGTGCCATCCAGATGAATTGTGCTTGTTCCCAGGGCAGGAGGTCCACAACCTCGGCCCATGTGGACCACCCACCCCACCAAGGCCAGGAGCAGTGAGGACCCTTACCAGGGAGCCCCTCCAGCCTGTCACTCCTACACCACCCCACAGCACCAACGAACCTCTCTAAAACCAGGCGGTTGACAGTGTCGCTGGCCACTGGCGGCAGGTTCAGGGTTTCCTGTAGCACTGTCAGCTTTCTTTTCAGGCTCTTGGGGAAGGAAAGAGAGGTGTGTGAAAGAAAGGCGGAGGCATCAAGTCCACAGAGATGGCCAAGGGCATAAACAGCACACACGAAGGGCAAGCCCACAGGGAACAGCAGGGCCTCAAATGCCAGCATTAGCTCCGGGGGCCGGGCCCACCCAGCCTCAAAACCTGTCTCTGCTGGAGCCCTCGGGATGTAGGTACCAGTCAGACTGAGAGAAGGCCCTCAGTGCTATCCCCTCTGCTGAGGAGGCCCGGGGCCCAGACCAGGGCCAAGGTGTACATCCTGACTCCCTCCCTGGCTCGGGAGCACACGGCAGCCCAGGACCCCCACACCAGCGGCCAGGCAGAGTGGGCCTGGCTCAGCAGCTGGAAGGCACACAGCCACTCCCTGTCCCTGCCTGGCCAGATGTGCCCTCACCACGATTTCCTTGTCAGCAGCCTGCAAGTCCTTCTGGGCCGACCTCAGCTCCAGGTTGACCTGGTCTAGTTCAGAGTAGACTGTCTGCAACTGTAAGGAAGTGGAGAGAAAGCAAGAGCCACAGGTGGCCATGGGCCCTACCCCTACCACTGCTACGCAGTGCATGCCCACTGGAGCCCCAATACTAGGAGAGTCTGGGGACACGGGGAGGCCCTGGCTCTGTGGGGCTGGGCCTTTGTCTAGCAATGTCCATCTGGAGCTGCCCAGTAGCCAGGTCTGCTTCCCACACCCTGCAACCCATAATGTACCACGCCCAGAAATAAAAGTAGCTCTACTGACTGAATCAGCTTCCGTGTGCCTCCTACTCTGGGCTTGGGACAAAAAACAGGCCTTTGGGCTGTCACATGTGGGACCTGTGCTCTCTGGCCAGTGGAGAGGTCCCCAGGAGCCAGGAAGAGCAGAGGGTAGCATAAGTGTGCGCATGCTGGGGGACACCTGAAGTGGACGAGCCACAGAGCCAGAGCCAGTGCCCAGCAAGGGCCAGCAACCAGTCTCTTGAGAGTCACCAACAGCCCCATGGAGTCAGTTGCAATATTAGGCCCCATGGCCTTGCTCAGGAGACATGACTGAGCACGACACAAGGACAGCCACCTCTTCCCCCTCATGCTCTGCTCCCACAGAAGTTAGTTACCTTGCTTCTGGAAGAAAACAAGTCCTTCTTCAGCTTGTCGGCTAGCTCCCCTGAGGCCTTCCGTGACTCTTTTAGATTCTCATATTCTCTACAAAGGGGTTATGGAAGAGATGTCAGAACAGACACCCTGCTGGTCAGCCTGAGCCACAGCACCGACCACACGGGCCCGGCCCCACCCCTCAGCCCCCACCCCTTCCCACTGACCCCTGAGCCCAACAGGGTATGTGCATGGGGGGTGTCCTACAGCCAGTGCAAGGATTGCTGGGGAGTCTCAGCTCCCTGCACGTCCTGCAGACACTGGAGACTTGAGAGGATGTGCAGGAAGTCCAGGCCTGACTGGACGGCCCCCATGTACCTGCAATCCTCTGTGCCTGTCCGCCAAGTGGCCCCTTCCCACAGCCTGATGCCCATGAGAGTGGAGAACCTGAGCTCTCTGATGCAAGCAGACAGGCTCAGTGACAGTGCTGATGGGAAACAGGCTCATGCACCACATATCACGAGGGGCTTCCCTCTCAGAGAGCTGTGCCAACCTCCTTAGAAGTACCACTTGTAACTCATGCTCTCAGGGGCCCTGGGAAGCAAGTTATTACTGTCCCCATTCAGGAAGCCGAGGGCAGAGAGGCTAAGCCGCTGGCTCCAGGCCACACCGGGAGAGGTGGGGACGGGTTCAGTCTGAGGCAGCAGGCTCCAGGGCTCTGCAGCTTCTTCCGTTCTACCAGAGGCAGGCAGCAGATGGAGAGGCATGGCCTGGGGGCTGGGGCTGAGTGCATGGGCTCGGACAGAGGGGCCAGAGTACACACTTCTTGAGGGACACACAGTACACAGCCAGCTGCTCCACCGCTGACTGCCCCACACCCATGTCCCGGATCATCTCCTCCACCTCGGGCCGCTGGCTCTGCAGCAGGAGCTCAATCCTGAAAACACACCAACCCACAGCATTTAAAACCTGAGGGCCGATGGGGAGAAACCCCAGGCAGCTCTGCCTCCCTTTGCTGCTGTTGCTATGGTGACAGCCTGGTCTGCTAGGGTGCAAAAGCAGGCAGGTCTTCCCAGAGAAAGGCACCCCAGCAGAGCTGGGCACAGCCGCAGGGGTGCTGTGGGGAAGAAGAGGGGCCCAGAGGTCCCACAGAGGTCAGGGATTTCTGGAGAGAAGCTTTTGGAGCAAATGATCTGCCAGGCTGTCTGCCCAAAGGTGACAGGACAGGGAGAAATGTGGCAAGGGTCCCCATGGAAAGCAAAGAGGCCCACAGAAGCTGAGCAGTCACCCCCAGCTGGCCTGAGCCCTCCCACGGTCTATGGAGAGCTGAACCACAGAGGTGACCTGACCTCCTGCAGCACTCCTGAGATCCATGCCACCGTGGGGGCCCGGGACAAGGGGCAGGGCAGGCCCCAACCGCAAGCTCACCGCTCCAAGGTCTTCATCTTGCCCCTGAGCCGGTGGGCCTCCTCCCGTGCTTGTTTGCTCTCGTCCTGCTGCCGCTCCAAGTACTTCATCTGCTTCTGAAGAGCACACCCACCCACACAGACCTGCTGTTTGGAGGGTCCCAGGGCCACAACCAAAGTCACAGAGGACACTACCCTAGAACTACATGCTTCTGAAACTGCCAATAACTGTGTGTTCCCAACCCCCAGAAGGTAAGGCTCCTGGGCCCCTCTGGCTTATGCTTTGCCTGCCCGGAGGCCCTAAGCCAACTGCATCCTTATCTTTCTGCTTGCTTCCCTGAGGTATGTTTACCATGGGCACCGTGCCCTGCCAGCACCCGCAGGCCCTTGGTGACTGTGGCCTGAGCCTCAGTGCATGTCATGCAGGAAGCAGAAGCAGCCCCAAGCACAAATCCAGGCCTCACTATCCACCACCCAGACCCACGGACAGTTGCCAAGCTAGGAGAGCTGAGCCAGAGGCTCCTGCGAGGCTGCCCTCAGCACCAGACCCCTCCGTGTATGACCTAGGATGCTACCAGCGACCCTTGCTCGGCATCTAGCTGCTGGCCCCTCCTTCCCGCCTGCTGCCCAGGCCATGTGATCCAGCCCAGCCACCGAGACAGTGAGCATCACAGGGCCTTGTCTGTTCACAAGGACGGCTCCCTTTCTCTTTCCAATGGCATCCAGAAAGGACTGATCCTGCCTACGAGGCCAAAATACCAATTGCTGAGTTCACATCCACCGCCTTATGCCCCTTGGAGAGCAAGAGGCTCGCCAACCCAGGCGGGTACAAAATTCATCTGGGTCTAGAGCCGCTTGCTCTGCAGCCTTTGATCTGCCGGGTCAGCTCAGCACAGCCGACTTCAAAGGCCGCCTGCCGCTCCCTGGGATGCTGCTTGATGTGGCTCCAGAGAGCAGTCCAGTCAAGGCCCAGAGCACGAGTGGAAGGCTCTTCAGGCTTCAGGAGTCCTAGCTCCACGAGTGGAGTACAAACCACTTTTGGAAACATAGCCCAGCCTTACCAAGGTCCTTGCTGAGCAGCCCCTGTAGCACTGCAAAGGCCCCACGTTCTCAAATTGCCTAGTACAAGACTCCTCAGTGCAGCCAGTATGGCCCTTGCTTTATGGTTCAGAGGGGCACGGTATGGGGGGCCTCGGCAGGAAGGGACCTGCCTTCCATGTACATGTGTGCAAACCCAGGTGCCAACCAATGCGGAACCAGAGGCTAAGCCCGGACCAGGGCTCCCCACCCGCTTGTGCCCACAGGGCCCAGGACCCACCTTTAGGGTGGAGCACAGCATCTCAGCCTTGTCCAAGGCCTTCTGCAGAGACTCCACGGTGGCATTGCGCTCTTCCAGTGTGTCCCGCAGAGAGTCAATGATGGCCTGGCTCTCCCGTTTCTCCCTCTCTGGTGCAGGAGTGGAAGGGTGGAGAGCGGGGCAGAGGTCCACCCAGCCCATCCACTGGTGTAAGAATCTGGGCCCTTGGACTCCAGCACCCCACCCCAGAGCCAGGCAAGGAACAAGTCTCAGGCCAGAAAGTTGGGCGGCCTACTTCTCTCTCCGGCATGCGCCAAACCAGGGAAGCTGAGCCACAGTCTCCTCACTTAGGAGATGAGACCCTCTTCCTGCTGCCTGGAACTACTGGAGCAAAAATGTCACTGCTCCCCACCCCAGTGGGTCTAGTTAACTCATCATCCTGAAACTCAGTCAGGTTCTTGCCAAACCCGGAGGCCCAATTCTCTCCTACAGATGTTCTGTCCCATCAGGTGGTCTCCTTCCAGCCTGGGTCCTGGGCAAGACACCCCAGAAAAAGAGCAGAGGCTCACTTGCTCTGGGTAGACAGACTTAGCCACCGCCCTTTCCTCTCCTTTTCTGCCAATCACAAGAGCTGGCAAGACTCTTGGACATACAAAGCAGGGAGAGCCCCTGGCTCCTCCAGAAAGCTGGAGGCCTTCCTCCCAGCCTCTCCCTCCAGCACCCATGTCTGGTGCCTCCCAGGGCTCCTTCTCTCTTGCTAACTCACCTTTCTGGGAAAGCTGAGCTCTGGTATTATCCAGTTCATTCTGCAAAGCAATGTGCACAGTGAGCAGCAGGAAGGCGTCAGAGCCGGCCTCCACCCAGCATCTCGCAAGGCTTGCGGGGAGCCCCAGGGGCAACGATGAGGCCTGTAGATCCAAGGAAGCAGAGCTCCCGCTGCACCTCACGACCAAGCTAAGCCAACAACGGAGAGGTAAGCCCTATTTTCTTCTGTGTGCCTTTTTAAAAGGTAGGTAAGATGGAGGGAAATAATCTCAGGTTAAGACCCAAGGACACGGAAAGAGGCAGAACAAGAGCAAGACAAGTAGAGGTGGGCCCGCGCCATCTAGTGGCGGCGGCTCACTCTGCACCCCCGGCCCTGTGCTGGACCTCACCCTCGCTGGGCATCAGCTCTGCTCACTGGGGACAGAGTCGGGGTGGTCGGGGACCTTGGGCCACTGCTCCTTCCCTCCACCCTGGGTTCCGCCTGCTCCACAGTCTACCCGTCTCCCAGAACTAAGCCGGCTCTGAGAACCACAAATCTTGTAGCCCCAAAATCCAACAGGCCAAGTGAGCTGGGACTACTGTGCGCCCTGGATGAAACCCCACATGCGCTGGGCTCTGACCAGACTGTCGTGACAGTCAAGTGCATCTCCTGAAGCCTGTGCAGACGTTCCAGAGCCACTGCCACAGAGCCACTGAGGAGTCCAGAGCACTCAGCATCCCTGTTGTGATGCTGAGAAGCGCCTGTTCCGTAAGCAGGGAAACCAGGCTCTGCAGAACCGCAACATGTGGCCGCAGGTCTGTGGTGGGGGCTGGATGGGAACCAGCAAGTCCTCTTCCAGGTTACTCTCCCGGGTCAACATGAGACCCAGAACCTCACATGTGACCAGTAGTAAGGCCCAGCGCCAGGGGTGGGTAGGCCCCTCCTTGTAACCTCTCCCCCCATGGCTCTGGGGCCAGAAGCCTTCGGGGGCTGGGCTGGTCAGTCTAGGGAGAACCCCCAGGACGGAGGTGGTGGGCAGAGAAGGGCATGCATGAGCACCAGAACAGAAGCCAGGGCAAAGCTGCCCTGAGGCCCCTACCACCTTCCACACCCAAGCAGGGTGCCTTCCAAGCCCTCACTCCAAATTACTGAAGATGTTCCCTCCCTGTCTCCCAGATCTGACTTTGAAAGCTGGGAAGAAATGAAGCTGCCTTTGTTGCCTTTATCACAGGGAGGATGTGGCTTGAAACTGGGAATGGTTACCATGGCGATGAACAAGCTGGCTTAATGCACAGAAGCTCCCTGGTCTGAAGCAGTGATGGTCCAAGGACATCAAGGGAGCCTGGGGCCAGGGCTACATGAGCCCTGGTCTGACAGATGCCCAGCAAATGAACTCTCAGTTCATTTGCAAACCCCAATCCCACCCCTTCAAGAGGTTTCTGCCCCTTGTTCACAAAGCAAGCAGAATCTTAGATGTGGTGGGGAAGCAGTAGCAGTGTAGGAGGGAATCCACCCATCTCCCCTGCGTGTGGATTTCTACCCTGGCTGCACATCTTGGTTCAGGGCCTCCGCCCTCCATTCCTGAGGAGGAAGGAGGACCCTTAGGAAAGACTCAGGCACCTGGGGATGCACCACGCGCCCTGGGCAGTCTTGAGTGCAGTCAATTTTGTGAACAATGGGTCCATGCGTCTTCCCTGGCTGAGGACTGGAAGAGTTTTCTAATCTGTCTCTAACTGTCCAAGCAGCAAAGTGGGCTGGGAAGGAGGGCTATAGCTCCTTCCTGGGTGAAGGCTCTTGGGGAGGCCTCTGGCCTTCAGTCAGAATCGCTCTGAAATCCCAAGGGGAGGGAGGGCTCTGCCCTCCCTAACAGCGTCTCTCCAGTGCTGTCTCATCACCACGTGTCCTCTGCCTCAGTGTCTACCAGTGTCGCCACCAGAACTCCACCTCCATACTCTAGATGCCCTCCCTGCAGGGGAGCAGAGAGTGAGCTCAGAGGGCTTGGGGCCCAAGAGAACGAGATAAACTCTGGCACCTTTAAGAACTCTGCATCTAACACATTCTCCTCGTCCTGGGCAAGGTCAAAGAAGAGCTTGTGAATAATGGTCTTCCTGCCAACCTGGATGGGAGAACAAGACAGAGTGTTACTACATAGCTGGCTGGTGGGCAAGGAGGAAGGGGCACCCTCAGGTTAACAAGCAGCCAGGCCTGTCCACAGGCCTGACCTCTCACAGCATGCCCCCTGAAGTTGTATGGCCTCTACAACCCTTTGGCACCCCAAGCTGGTGCCACCAGTTTGGTGGTTACTGAAGTCATGTCACAGGAAACCCATGCAGTGACTGCTCAGACGACATCCACCTCTAGGGGCAGGACACTGAGAAGATGGGGAAAGGCAGGGAAGGAGGCCAAATCTACCCAGAAGACTGGCCCAAAAAATGAGCCCATCTGCCAGCTACCCTTGGGCATAAGCAGGCCCCCCAAAACCACTCGAAAGCACAGGTAAGAGTAGACCAGTCTCAAACTATGAGAGTCCAAGAAGGCCACAGACTTCGCTCAGCTTCAGTGCCCTTCCTCGTTCCTGCTCCCTGGCGAGGAGAAGACGTCTTCAGGTGAGGTGTTTATACCCCTGCCCTCACCTGGATTCGGCACTGTGGGCAGGTCCGACTCGGTGCTGTTTCAAACCACTGAATTAGGCTGGAATGAGAGAAAAACATACTGCTGAGCCCTGGCTTGGGTAGGGCCACACGGGCCAGGCAGCCACCCTAGCTGTCCTGCTCCCCCTCAGCCCACTGCTGGCCCCCATGGGGCAGCCCCACAGGCGTGACAGCAGAGCCCACGAGCCTCACTGATACAAGTGCTCTGACCCACTGGCCCTTTTTGCCTGCTGATTTGACCCTCCCTACCCAAAGGCTCTTTTGTCAACCTTCTAGGCTTTGACTGGAGAGCAAAGTCAAAGCCCAGGATCCCTCAGAAATGGGGATTCTAATAACAAACACCCCCACTTTAAGCAGGGACTCCAAAGGGCTACACTCTAAAAGGAAGGGTAAACTAGAAGCAAAGGCAAGTAGCACCAAACGCAAACTAGCCCAGCTTTGCATCATCTGTCTGGGTGATGCAAGGCAACTCCAGCCTCAAACTCCAATTAAAGTAGCCTCCTACTGCTAGAGTCTTCCCTCTCAGGACCAGGGAGAACAGAGTCCTTTCTGGAGGATAATACCAGCATCTTGGGCCTCAATCTTTTCAATACTCAAATAATTTTCAAATACTATGTGCAAGTTGTAACCAAAGCTAACCATGCACGGCGGAATCCATAAGAAATATGTCTGATAAAAGAGCTCCTTTGATAGCGTAAATCACAGAGGTTTAAGCAGCAATGGGAATGAATGGGTCTGCAATGGAGAACAACGTCGTGGCTGAACCACACAAACATAACACTGAGAAGTCAGAAAAAGGTATATTCTTGTAGATGATTCCATCTACAGGAAGTAAAAAGTAGGCAGAACTCATCTGTGCTGCCGGAAATCAAGACTGTGAGTATCCATGGGAAGAGGGCACAGGGGGGATTTCAGAGCGCTGTCTTCTTTCTGATCTGAATTCTGGTTGCATCAGTGTGTTCAGTTTGTGAAAATTCTGCAAGCCATACAATTATATGTGCACTTTAAGTACTATATTTCAACAAATTTGGTGTATGTTTTTTTAAAGGAAACAGTCACATGAAAAAAGCAGTAGAAGTGCAGAGCAGAGCATATCCACAAAGACTTCAGATATGGGACCTGTCAGACACAAATCATAACACATTATACTAAAGAAATAGAAATCAAGACTGAGAAGATCAGTAGAAGATTAGAAAATAAAAAGTAACATGGCAGAGCTTAATAAGAACCAAGCAGGAATTTTAAAGCTGCTAACATGGCCACAATTAAGAATTCAATGGATCAATTTAATAGCACCTTAGGCACAGTTGAAGAATTAGTAAACTGAAAGATATGGCAGAGGAAACACTGAAAATGAAAAAGATGATAAGAGATGTAGAAGATACTGTGAGAAGGTCTTGCACACAACAATTAGGAGTTCTGGAAAGAGAGCCTTAGGTAGAATAATGCTCTGTCCGCACTAAGTCCACATCCTATTTTCTGAAACTTGTGAATGTTACCTTAGACAACAGTCATATTGCAAATGTGATTTGGTTAAGGATCTTGAGATGGGGAGAATATTGAGGGGTGTCCCAGGTAATCACAGGGGTCCTTAGGAGAGGCTGGACTGTCAAGAGTCACACAGAGACATCTGAGGATATAACACTGCTGGCTTTGAAGATGTGAAAAGGGACCACGAGCCAAGAAAGGCGCAGGCCCACCTGCAATCCTGATTTTATCCCGGTAAGACTCATTTTGGACTTCTGAACTCTGGAACTATAAGAAAATAAATCTTTGTTGTTTTAAGCCACAAGTTAGTGGTAATTTGTTATAGCAGTGGCAATTTATTATATATATAGAGAGAAACTAATATAGAAAGAAAAGAGATAATGAAGTAGAAGCAATACATGGAGATAATGACTTCTAATTTTCCAAAACTAATTAAATATATCATTACACAAGTTAAAGGAACTTAATGAATCTCAAGTAGGATAAGTAAAAATAGTAACAAGAGAGCTGAGGTGGCTATATTATTGTCAAAAAAAATAGACTCTAAGTCAAAAATGGTTACAGGAGGCAAAACAGGACTTTATATATTGATAAAAGGTTATTTCAACAAGAAGAAATAACAATTATAAACATGTATGCACTTAACAACAGAGCCCAAAAATACATGAAAGAAAATTGGATAGATCTTAGAGGAGAAATAGTTGTACAATAAAATTTGGAAATGTCAATACCCCACATTTTCAATAATGGATAGAACTATCAGACAGATGATCAATAAAGAAATAGAGGACTGGACCAACACTATAAACCAACCAGATCTAACAGATATATACTTCATCCAAAAATAATAGAATAACCATTTGTCTCCAAGATAGACCATATATTGGGCCACAAATCTTAATAAATTTGAAAAGATTGGAATCATACAAAATATCTTTTCTGACCACAATGTAATGAAACTAAAAAGCAGTAACAGAAAAAAAATAGAAAATTCACAAATACACAGAAATTGAACAATACACTCTTAAACAACCAGAGGGTCAAAGAAGCAGTTGCAAGACAAATTTGAAAATACCTGGAGATGAAAGGCAATGAAAACACAACATACCAAAACTTATGAAATACAGTGCTAAGAGAGAAATGGAAAGCTGTAAACACATACACATTAAGTAAGAAAACACCTGTTAGGATGGCTACTATAAAAAACAAAACAAAACAAAATAACAAGTGTCAGCAAGGATGTGGAGAAACTGGAACCCTGTGCATCGCTAGTGGGGACATAAAATGATGCAGTTGATATAGAAAACAGTAAGACAAGTTATCAAGTAGTTAACAGAATTACCATATGATCCAGCTATTTCACCTCTGAGGTTAACCCAAAGGAAACGAAAGCAGAGACTTGAACAGACAGCTGGACACCAATATTCATAGTAGCATATTCATAGTAGCCAAAACATGGAAACCCAAGTTCTAGTAACAAGTCAAGGGATAAACAAAATGTGGTATTTCCATATAATTGAATATTATTTAGCCACAAAAAGTAACAAAATTCTGACATATGCTAAAACATGGATGAACTTTGAAAACATTATGCTTAGTGAAATAAGCCAGATTCAAAAAATAGTATGATTCCACTTAGATGAGGTACCTAAAATAGAATTCAAGGAGACAGAAGATAAAATAGAGGTTTCCAGGCACTGTAGGGAAGGGAAATGGGAAGTTATTGCTTAATGGGTACAGTGTTTCTATTTAAAATGATGGAAAAATTCTGGAAATATATAGTGGTAATGGTTACACAACATTGTAAATGTACTTAATGCCATGGGATTGTACACTTAAAAATGGTTAAAATGGAAGGCATCTTTGAGCTCATTGAGTAAATACCATAAGCAAAAACTCCAGAGTTAAAAAAAAAATTTATGGACGAGAAATCATTGCAATTAAATGGCGACAGACATGTCCAAGGAATATCACAGGGATTTGAACCCTTTATGAATCTCGTGATAGATGAATGTGTGGGGATGGCAACTACTGGAGCACAGATTATAAGAATGGTAATAGTATGAGGAAGTAGGTCTCATCATGTTAGAAACCCTGGAAAGAGTACGGCTGTGTCCACAAGAGAAAGCAATTGCTTCCACATATCCCCGCTCCAAAGAATCTATTTTCTTTTACTATGATATAAAAATTGGGCTGCGTACGTAATGACTCTATAGCATCTTTTTACACTGATAGACAGTGACTACAATGGGGGTGAGGTGAGGACTTAATATGGGTGAATGTTGAAACCACAATGTTGTTCATGTGAAACCTTCATAAGATTGAATATCAATGACACTTCTAAAAAATTGGGCTGTGTTATATTTCCGTATTGAACTTTTTTGTTTAAACTTTTGTAATAGTCAAAAAAAAGTTAAAACAGTAAAATTTGCTATATATATTTTGTACTACAATAAGAAAAAAAGGCTAAAATGATAAATTTTCTGTTACTTAATTTTAATTTCACAATAAAAAGAGGAGCTCTGAGGCAGCCTGTCTGCCGCTGCTAGGGGGATGTAGGCTCCAACGGTCCTAAAGGGTCAGCAGGACGGCCTGACCAGCGAGCACCTTCCTGCCCTTCGATGTGAACTTGGATCTGCGAGGTCGGTGAATAAATACATCAGGGTGTCTGGCCAGAGATGGTTCTGGATAGAGTCACTCCAAACCATCAGACAAAACACAACAAATGGGGTGCCAGGTCTGCTCTCCAAGCGATGAGAGGGCTCGCTGACTTGGGGGCAGCTCACCTCCGCCCAGGCTAAGCCCCTAAGTCACACCTCTTCGCAAGCCTCCAAGGAAGCCCCTTCCCCACCTTCCCTGAACCAACCCTGCACCCCGGACTCAGCTATCAACTGCTCCGAGACGGCTGTCCTGACCTGCCTCCGCCCGGTCGGAACCTCCCGGGGCTCCGTCTAGCGCTTACCCACCCGCCGTCGGGCTCCGGGGACCGAGGCCCGACCCCGCAGCCCCGCAGCCCCCACAGCGGCCACTCACCACTGCAGGTGGAAGGTGTGGCCGCAGTGGATGGCGGCCACGTCGCGGGAGTGGTCGAAGAAGTCGGAGCAGATGGTGCACAGCGCGCGGATAGGCATGAGGACTGGTCTCCAGGGAGCCAGGGAGCCCAGAAAACCGCACTGTCCGGCTTCCCGGGCGAAGACTCCTGTCGCCGCTCGCTTCAAATTTCGCTCCTCTGAGCGACTTCCGGGAGCAGGCCGGAAGAGGCTCGCGGAGCGTAGAGGCGGAGCGTAAAGCTTGGGTCCAGGTTGGACGGCCCTGTTGGGGGCGGGGCTTAGCTCCGGGGCGCGGAGCATCCTGGGGCGGAGCGCGAGCCAAGAGGCGAGGCGGTGGGCCCGGCGGCCGCGGCTCCAGAGTCGGAGCTGGGGTGGCGCGCGCGCGGTCTCCTCAGCCCCGCTGTCTCGGCGCAGCCTTCTCAGCCCTCCATGAGAGTTCGGGGAGGCCGGGGCCGCAGGGGAAGGGAACGATGGCCCAGCCCCCGGCCCCGGGCGCGCTCCACCCTCTCCGCCCTGGGCTCGGAGCGGTCCTGGAAAGAGGGACGCGGGTCCCAGCCCTTCGGGGCACCCTCGGCTCCTCCTGGCTTCATCCAGGCAGGGCGTGCCGATCCCTGACCCGGAGGCGGCAGGCCCAGGACCTCGACGTTAGCTCTTAGCTCCCAGGAGGATCGGTTAGCACTTGGGACTGGGGTCGGGCTGCCATTTTGGAGGCCCGGATGTTTCATCTACAAACCCTTTTTTTATTCCCACGTCAGAGAAGTTATCTTTGGGCCCCTCCCCGAGGGCAAGTAGCATCCTCGGGGGGTTCACCTGGGCCAGGCAGGGCTGGAACAAGTCTTCCTAGGAGTGCGCACACTTAGCTATTTTTACCACTGTTACTCCCCTCTCCCCAGATGTGCCCCGAGGCACAGAGCCAGTGTTGCCCCCCCTGAAGCCGTCCCAGGGTGAAGTCCCTTGGGCCTACACGGAAAGCACCGGTGGTATTCACAGGAAGGAGCACAGCCTAGAACACTGCATCCTCTCCCCAGCCCAGGGAAGTCCAGGCTGGCCACGGGCAAGGTCTCTCGCTAGGGTGGCTGGAAGTCAAGACAAGCGCTCCTGTTCCACAGGACTTATCAGAACAGAGGTCCTAAGGGTACCCCCAGGCCCACACCCAGCATAGGACCCACCACACACGCGGACTTATCTAGAGTCCAGGGAGCCCAGCCCCCCACCCCACTGCCGCGAGGAGCACTTCGTGAGGACAGTCTGCGCTCTCAGCCCAAGTCCACATGGCACTGAGCACAGCACATGACCTGCGGACCTGCTCCCAGTCTCTCCCTCCCCAGTGCCTTCCAGGGACCCTCCCCAGTAAGACAGGAAGCGAGAGCGAGAGGGTGGCCAGAGGCTTTGGCAGGGTGACATTTATTTGCCAGGTTCAGCAGGCACACAGCCTACCAACCTTCATACACCAGAGCAGACCCACAGGCATGCAGGGAGTTGGGCGGGGCTGCCACCGAGCGCCAGGCAAGGGCCGGGACCCGTGTGGCTGCCTGCCCAGGCTGTGGTGGGGTCTGGCAGAGGGCACCTGCCAGGAGCCTCCATCAGGAAACGGGAGCCTTACTCCACTTCCTCACACCAGCAAGAGCGACTCCGCATGGCTCAGAGGCACCTAGGCGCCTTCCTAAGCCCTGACAGGAGAGGAAGTGGGTCATAGATACAGTGGGGTTCCTCTCTATTTTGCTATTAAATTGGGAGGGTAGAATTCTGCCCTTGTGAAGGGCAAACCCTCAAATCAGACTGTGGGACACTGCCATGCAGCAGGCCCCCTGGGATGAAGAGGACTGTGGCCTGGACCATCTGGGCAGAGCCAGGAGTATCAGCCCTCCCTGCCTGGACCAGGGTGAGGACCCAGTTAGGTGGGTGCACTGGGTCCTGGGCCTGCACCCTGCCCCCTAGTCCTCACTGCCACACTCCCAGTTCTCCCTTTGCCCCTGCCAGGCTCTTGCCGCTCAGGGCACAGGCAACCCCTGCAGGACCCAGGAGGGCAGGAAGTAGCACAGGGGTCTTGGGCAGGGCATCCCAGGGCACAGATGGAGGCGTCCGCCCTCCTGCTCATTCTTTCTCCCTTCTGAGGAGCCCCACAGCTGCCCAGTAGTGCCCCAGCCACGCGACCAGTCTTGTCTTAAGCGCACAGCCCTGGATTTCCGCAGTCTCTGTCCCAGGCCGTGTCCGCTCCTCGGGCAGCCCGCATACCCCAAGCACATACCTTCTTGTGCAGGAGCCTAACACCGCTGACAGGGCCTCGCTGGAGGACCAGCTCTCAGGGCAAGGCCACCCAAGTTAGGGCCTGGGAGAGGAGGGACCTGCCTGGGGGAACGGTGCAAGAAGGAAAGGGGAAGGGGAGCCGGGGCCTCCTGAGCACCCCTAGAGCAGCATCCCACCAGGAACAGAAACTGGGGAAGCTAGCAAAAGACAGAAAAGCCACGAGGAATCCATGCAGGGGCTGGGGCCTGTCTTGCCTCTGGCCTGCCCACCGCTCACACACATACACACAGGAGACAAGATTGCTCTCCTGTGGCCCCCGACATGCCCCACACTGGGAGGCAGGGGCAGGGGGAGCGAGGGCATCATGCCAGTGACTCTATGTACAGTGAGAAGCCCCTCATCCACTCTCCCACCCTCCTGCCCATCCCGTCCCCCACAAGCCTGCCCGCTCAGCTAGTCTGCGCCCTCCAAGACTCCTGGGCATACCCAGCAGCCTCTTCCCCTTTACTAGAAGGTGGAGCCTGGCCTGTGGCGCCCCCTGGGGCTGTGCTGTCCGGCTGCGCCAAAGCTGGCTCAGGGATGGCGGCTGCCTTGGTGGCCGGGGTGGCACTGCTTTGGGTGGTGGGCACGGTGCTCTCTTCTGTGGCTGGAGTGGCTCTCCCATCAGTAGCTGGAGTAACACTCCTATCAGTGGCTGGGGTGACACTGCCATCTGTGGCAGGGGTGATGCTCCCATCGGTGGCAGGGGTGACACTGCCATCTGTGGCAGGGGTGGCACTGCCATCTGTGGCTGGGGTGGCGCTACGGTCTGCAGGAGCTACATTTTTGCTCTTTGCAGCATCACCCACTGTGGCCACGGTGGCACTGCCCCCAGGGGCAGGGGCAGCTCCACTTGCAGCTGTGGCCCCACCTGCAGCCCCAGTGGCAGCAGTATCTGTGCCCGGGGCAGACTGCTCGGGCGCCCGCAGCCGTTTCATGAGGGTGGTCACTCGGACAGCCTTCTGAAAGAGGACGGTGCAGAGAGGCTCAGAGTGAGCCTCGCAGAAGCTGGCTCCGTGCCTTGGCGAAGGCCAACCCAGACCATTCCGTGGTGCCCCTGGCTGCCTCTCACCACCCCAGGGCCGGGGCCCCAGCCGCTCAGCACACCTGCTTAGGGCAGTGACAGGCCGAAGCAAAGCCTGTGAGGCTGCAGGGCTGTGATGCAGGCAAGAAACTGGGTGCCAGAGGAGCACTGGGTCAGGCCGGGGAAGAGCGCCATCCATGCCTTACCTTCCACTTGGCCCTGGCAAAGTTCTTTTCAATCTGGGCACAGACACCGTCTTTGATGTTCTTATCAGAAGCAGCATTTCCAGAAATCCTGGAGAGGGAGCAAGTGCATCTGGACCCGAGGGGTGCATACAGGCTGCACGGAGACTGCCCAGCCCTTTCCTCGTCAGACCCAGGGAGGACCAGGTAGAGCCTCTGGGCTGGCCTGAGCTCTGGGGGCTCCCCAGCCCCCACACAAGGACTCACGGATGTGGCCTGCTAGGTGTGAGGAGGACATGGCGGCAGGAGCCCTGCCTCCCCTCCCGTCTCCCTGGGCCCTGCTCACCACTCGTGGGAGATCGCCTCTTCTGCTGTGATCCGCTGGTCTTGCTCTACCTCCATCAGCCTTGTGACCAGGTCCTTGGCTGGGGACAAAGCCAGGCTGAGGCTCAGCGCAGGAGCCCCACCCCGCTGTCTAGAGTGTTGAATGAGCTGGAGACCGGGAGCAGAGCCTGCACGCAAGGCAGACAGCAGGCTCCCCACACCACCCCTGCCGCCCACCCGAAGCTGGACGCCTCCTCACCGGCCTGAGAGATGTCATCCCAGTAGGGAGAGTCAAATTCATAGTCGCCAGCCAGGATCTTGCGGAACAGATTCTTATCATGGTTCTCATAGTCATCCTCCTCCACCTCTTCATAGAAAGGAGGGTTCCCTGAAAGCCTGCATGGGCCCAAACGGCAGGGTCACCCGGGAAGGCTGTGGGCACAGCCCCCACCCTACTTGGCTGCAAGCCCATTTGCCTGTCATCCACTCACAGGATGTACATGATGACTCCAATGGCCCAGCAGTCCACGGGGCGTCCATACCGCTGCCGGCCTACCACCTCCGGGGCTGCAAATGGAGCGTCCATCTGCAGGTCAGTATCAGGCCTGGCCAGGCCTGGTGCCACTCACACCCGCTTCCTGGGATGGGGACTCCCCGGCCACCCAGCCACTCCTCGAAGGCTGTCTCCCGCCCTGGCCCCGCCCCGCCCCCTGCTTGCCCAGGTACTCGGGGGTCCCACAGGGCTCTTTGATGAGGCCGTTCTCCAGCTTAGCCAGGTGGAAGTCGCTGATGACGATCTTTGAATTCTTCAGCCGATTATAGTAAACCAGGTTCTCCAGCTTCCCGGCAGGCATGGCATGTGGGTGGGCAGGGGGACACTCCATTGAGGACTCAAGAGGCGGCATTGAGAGCCCAGGGGCCGCCCCACCCCAGGCTGGCAGTCCCCTGGCCCTTTGACCCAGTTCCTGCCTCACCTTGAGGTTCCTGTGCACGATCTTGAGTGAGTGCAGGTAGGCCACGGCCTCCAGGACCTGCCGCACCACGTTGCTCGTGTCTCGCTCCGAGTAGTAGCCCTGGTCCAGGATCCAGTCAAACACCTCCCTCCCCGTGGCCCTGAGGGACACCAGCCCCTGAGCCCGGTGTGGGCAGAGTAGGGGGTGGGGCAGGAAAATGGGCAGGTTGCCCACACCAGGCAGCTGGCTGGGCAAGGCACAGGGTGCCTGGGAACACCCAGGTCCAGAGAGGGCAGCTTTCCCTGGCTGCTGAAGCAGAGCACGCAACGGCCCTGGGAGCTGCAGAATCGGGGCCCAGACCCACACTCACAGCTCCAGGAAGATGAAGTACTCCTTGCGG